CAGCTGCCCATGCAGCACATGAGATTAGCTAAATCAGAATCTTTGGGATGGGGCTTGGACGTGAGAATTTTTTAAAGCTCTCACAGTGAAGCCACTGTACTTGTAACGTTTAGAACTACTGCTGTACACAGTTCAAAATACAGGTAGATTGAGCTCAGGAAAATGTTAACTATCCTGAAATGGCAATTAAAGTTTTGCCCCCCTGAACTGTATGCCACTTTAATTGTAATGTCAACTACTATGAAAAGTATGGAATTACCAGGACATAATGATTTGGGTTTCTCTTTACCTATGAACCAGTAATAAAAGATTATCCAGTCACCAGAATTCCAAAATTTGGTACTGGCTAAGATCAGTTATACATAATACCATATAGGTGGGCCTTTGTTTGTTGGGGGGTGGGAACGTGGATGTCTGTTGCTTAAAAAAAAAAAAAATCAAGTTTGTAAGCCACCAGTTAATTGGAAAAAGCACTGAAGCCCTGGCCTTAAGAGTTTGGCAACCTGTGTTCTAGTATTAGCTCTGCTGTGTGACTTTGAACCCATGTATTTAAAAATTACATTTTATAAAATGGGGCCATTGGACTGAAGGTGATAATCAGATTGTTTATTCAACAAATTGGCTTGCCTGTTGTGTTCTAGGCAAGGATACAGGCATGAACAGAACATAGAGCATCCCCTTGAAAAGCATGCAAAAGGCAAACGTGCAGAATGTCTAAGTGTAGCTATAGTGAAATGTTCAGGGAATTAAGGGAATATAGAAGTTCTTCATTTGGTTTCAGTTTTGGACAAACACTTCAGTTGCCTATTTAGCGACCATTCACAGATGCTTGCTTTCCTAGCCACCCTTGCAGCTGGGGCATAGACCAGAGGAAAAGTCTGCAGGGCAGATTTTCTTGTAAAAGTTGGCAATTGAGGCTGGTCCTAGTGCAGTGGTGTTTACAGCTAATTGATCACAACCAGTTACAGATTTGTTTGTTGCATCTCTACTGCCTCACTTGACTAAGCTGAAAAGAGAGAGAGAGAGAGAAAAGAAAAGAGAAAGAAAGAAAAGAAAGAAAGGAAAGAGAGGAGAGCAGAGGGGAGGGAGGGAGAGAGAGAAAAGAAAGAAGGTTGGTTAGTTGGCGATTGAGAAAGCACGCCTTCCTGTTCTGGCCTTATTGTGTGGGGACATGATGCTTGGTGCTGCAGAGGTCATCTTGAAACTGTGAAGACCTAAGAACAAAGGCTTCCACACTGAGAATGGCCAAAGGAAAATACAAAGGAACCTGGATTTTTTTTTTTTTTTTTTTAGATGGAGTCTCACTCTGTCACCCAGGCTAGAGTGTAGTGGCTTGATCTTGGCTCACTACAACCTCAGCCTCCTGGGTTCAAACAATTCTCTTGCCTCAGCCTCTTGAGTAGCAGGGGCACGCCACCACACCTGGCTAATTTTTTGTATTTTTAGTAGAGACAGGGTTTCACTGTGTTAGCCAGGATGGTCCCGATCTCCTGACCTCGTGATCTGCCCACTTTGGCCTCCCAAAGTGCTAGAATTAGAGGTGTGAGCCACTGTGCCTGACCCAGGAGCCTAGATTTTTGATGTCAACAGTGAGCTGTTAAACCAGCCCTAGGACTACCTTCCTGCGGGCTTTTTGAGATAATAAAACTTCATATTGTTGGATCTTTTGTGCTTTAAGAGTGATCTGTGGATCAGCATCATCTGGGAGTTTGATTAGAAATGTAGAATCTCGGCCGGGCGCGGTGGCTCAAGCCTGTAATCCCAGCACTTTGGGAGGCCGAGGCGGGTGGATCACGAGGTCAAGAGATCGAGACCATCCTGGTCAACGTGGTGAAACCCCGTCTCTACTAAAAATACAAAAAATTAGCTGGGCATAGTGGTGCATGCCTGTAATCCCAGCTACTCAGGAGGCTGAGGCAGGAGAATTGCTTGAACCCAGGAGGCGGAGGTTGCGGTGAGCCAAGATTGTGCCATTGCACTCCAGCCTGGGTAACAAGAGCGAAACTCCGTCTCAAAAAAAAAAAAAAAAAAAGAAAGAAATGTAGAATCTCAGACCCTACTCAGACCTGCTGCATCAGCATCTATACTTTATTTATTTATTTATTTCAATTTTATTTTTTATTTTTTTGAGACAGTCTCACTCTTGTTGCCCAGGCTGGAGTGCAATGGCACAACCTCCACCTCCCAGGTTCAAGTGATTCTCCTGCCTCATCCTCCCATGTAGCTGGGATTACAGGCATGTGCCATCATGCCTGGCCAATTTTTGTGTTTTTAGTAGAGACGGGATTTCTCCATGTTGGTCAGGTTAGTCTCAAACTCTCGACCTCAGGTGATCCACCCGCCTTGGTCTCCCAAAGTCCTGGGATTACAGGCATGAGCCACCGCACCCAGCTCTAGCATCTATACATTAATAAGATCCTGTAGTGACTAAGATGCACATGAGAGCTTTTGAAGCACCAGTTTAAACCAATTTTAACTGGATATTCTGTTCTATGCAAGCTTAATAACCCTGATTGTGTGAGTACATCTTGTTTAGTTAGCTAGTGCTGCATTTATAATTATTATTTTTCCATTCCCTTTATATTTTCAATCTTGCATAGGACATATGATCATAAACATGATTTTCATATGATAAAGTCTTTAAGTTTCTAGAGTAACTGGTTTCTTTTTTTTTTTTTTTTTTTTTTTCTCATTAAACTTTTTTTAATGGGTCTCAAAATTCTGTGACAAATTTTTGGTCAAGTTGTTTCCATTAAAAAGTACTGATTTTAAAAACTAATAACTTAAAACTGCCACAAGCAAAAAAGAAAACCAAAGTGGTCCACAAAACATTCTCCTTTCCTTCTGAAGGTTTTACGATGCATTGTTATCATTAACCAGTCTTTTACTACTAAACTTAAATGGCCAATTGAAACAAACAGTTCTGAGACCGTTCTTCCTCCACCACTGATTAAGACTGAGGTGGCAGGTATTAGGGATAATATTCATTTAGCCTTCTGAGCTTTCTGGGCAGACTTGGTGACCTTGCCAGCTCCAGCAGCCTTCTTGTCCACTGCTTTGATGACACCCACGGCAACTGTCTGTCTCATATCACGAACAGCAAAGCGACCGAGAGGTGGATAATCTGAGAAGCTCTCAACACACATGGGCTTGCCAGGAACCATATCAACAATGGCAGCATCACCAGACTTCAAGAATTTAGGGCCATCTTCCAGCTTTTTACCAGAACGGCGATCAATCTTTTCCTTCAGCTCAGCAAACTTGCAGGCAATGTGAGCTGTGTGGCAATCCAGTACAGGGGCATAGCCAGCACTGATTTGGCCTGGATGGTTCAGGATAATCACCTGAGCAGTGAAGCCAGCTGCTTCCATTGGTGGGTCGTTCTTGCTGTCACCAGCAACGTTGCCACGACGAACATCCTTGACAGACACGTTCTTGACATTGAAGCCCACATTGTCCCCAGGAAGAGCTTCACTCAAAGCTTCATGGTGCATTTCAACAGATTTCACTTCAGTTGTAACGTTGACTGGAGCAAAGGTGACCACCATACCAGGTTTGAGAACACCAGTCTCCACTCGGCCAACAGGAACAGTACCAATACCACCAATTTTATAGACATCCTGGAGAGGCAGGCGCAAGGGCTTATCAGTTGGACGAGTTGGTGGTAGGATGCAGTCAAGTGCCTCAAGCAGTGTGGTCCCACTGGCATTGCCATCCTTACGGGTGACTTTCCAACCCTTGAACCAAGGCATGTTAGCACTTGGCTCCAACATGTTGTCACCATTCCAACCAGAAATTGGCACAAATGCTACTGTGTCGGGGTTGTAGCCAATTTTCTTAATATAAGTGCTGACTTCCTTAACGATTTCCTCGTATCTCTTCTGGCTGTAGGGTGGCTCAGTGGAATCCATTTTGTTAACACCAACAATAAGTTGTTTCACACCTAGTGTGTAAGCCAGGAGGGCATGCTCTCGGGTCTGCCCGTTCTTGGAGATACCAGCTTCAAATTCACCAACACCAGCAGCGACAATCAGGACAGCACAGTCAGCCTGAGATGTCCCTGTAATCATGTTTTTGATGAAGTCTCTGTGTCCTGGGGCATCAATGATAGTCACGTAGTACTTGCTGGTCTCGAATTTCCACAAGGAGATATCAATGGTGATACCACGTTCACGCTCAGCTTTCAGTTTATCCAAGACCCAGGCATACTTGAAGGAGCCCTTTCCCATCTCAGCAGCCTCCTTTTCAAATTTTTCAATGGTTCTTTTGTCAATGCCCCCGCATTTGTAGATTAGATGGCCAGTAGTGGTGGACTTGCCGGAATCTACATGTCCAATGACGACAATGTTGATATGAGTCTTTTCCTTTCCCATTTTGGCTTTTAGGGGTAGTTTTCACGACACCTATGTTCTGGCGGCAAACCCGTTGCGAAAAAGAACGTTCACGGAGACTACGGCACTTATATATCGAGTAACTGGTTTCTTAACAGCTAAGCTTGTTAGTGTACATTGAGGCTTAGAGGAATAATGACCGAAAATTTCTTAATACCACTCAGGACATAGAAATTTATTTGCAGTCGGAATTTGAATTTCTGGAATCATAATTGTCTTTGCCATCCCCCAAGTGACAGTAATAGTTTGTTGCTTAATAATAAGAAATTGGCTTCTGTTTTTTAAAAAATCTCTTAGAAGTTTTATAGGTTTTTTGTTTATTTCTTTTGTTGATTGATTTGGTAATTGTAAAGCGACTCACAGTTATACTAAAAAGAGCCAATTTTTATATCACAAATGAAAAATTTCTCAGTTGACCTTTTCTTTCCAGCTTTTACAGCCAGAATATTACCCTGGAAACATAAAAATCTATGTCAGCGATAAAACAGAATTATTGATGATGTTCATCTTTTCTTTTAACTTAAATTGTATATACTTTGGTTACAAGGATAAAATGGTAATGAGTTAATAGCAGTAGTAGTATAATTAACAAAGTGCTTTATTTTACAGGGAAAATATTTATCCCCAAACAGAAACCTGTACAGACTTTTACAGAAGAAAAAGTATCTCTTGATCCGGAATTAGAAGAAGCTTTGACAAGTGCCTCAGATACAGAATTGTGTGACCTCGCAGGTATCACCTAAAACAAGTTAATTTGCGAATAAGTGTGGGTTGGAGAGGGGAAATACCAGCACATACCTATGTATACATTATACAGATGTCGCTTTTCCTAGCAAGTGCTATTGAATCAGTAACCACATATTTGGCTTTATATTTTACATGATAAAGCTGACATAAAGAGTTTCATTACTCTTAATAGTGAAATGTTTATATTGAGAATGTATTATATTTTTGACATCTTTTCCCATGTTGTCATATTTGAAAGTCTTTCTAAAATCTTTCATCAGCTGGTGCTCAGCTAGCAGCTGTCCCACCTGAGCATTGGAAAAGAGTTTTCAGAGTCATCTACTGATGACCACTTTATCAGAAGACAGAGAGATGCGTAACTAGAAAGTAGATTGGAACAGTCAGTTCTGAGCTATGCTCAACACTTTCCTAACTTTTCTGAAGTGTGTATGAAGTGCTCCAAAGCTCTGATACTAAACAGTATAAAAGCTAGTCAGACTTGGTTTTGTTGGCATTTTATTATCAATATTACTAAGTTTCAAGAAATACATAACAATACCCTAAACCCTATTATTGTCATTATTGCCCATTTCTTATCTAGACCAGTATCTTCCCCACCCTACCACGTACAACCTATTTTCCTAGATAGAAAAGTGTGATTCATGGGGAGTTCTTCATAGTAAATAACCCCAAGAACTAGTAAGTTTGAATGTAGCGCTGATGGTTTTTAGGAAGGACCTTGGAAAGGGACAAGTCAAGGTGTGATGCCACAGCCAGAGCAGGAGTCTTATGGATTGAGGGACTGAGGACTGATACATCTGTAAATAGTACGTTCATCAGAGTGGAATGAGCCAAGGACATCCTCTGGCATCTGCCTTATTTATGCAAAAGGTCATCAAAAACTAAATCCAAATTTATTTTTCCTCCTAAGTGTCATTTTTTAAGGGTGCTCATACTCTTACATATAAAAACCTAATACTTTTAGTATTCTACTCTTAGCTAGAATCCAGATGTAAATTAATGACATGAGATTAACAAACATTAAAATATGAAAGTTAAGGTGAAAATCTGCTTTTTGTCACATTATGTTCCTAGAAACCTTGTGAAATTAATGAACAGCAAAAATAAATCATTTCCATTTTCTCTCTTGGCCACCAGATGGAGCCAAGGATAGATTTACATTTAGGATCAGGCTGCCTCCAACTCTGAATTTGGAAATGTGGGGAAATATAACTTTAGAAATGTGGGGGAAAATAACAAGAGTATTGATGAGAATGAGATTTTAGGTGATTTTTACTCATTTTGTTCTTCTGTGTTTATGTGTGTGATCTGTAATTTATAGGAAAAGGTCCAGAGACTGTTAAAATTATTGATAGAAAATTTTTGTTGTAAAACTCTTCATGTTTAAAACAATAAAAACTTTCTTTTTCTATGTTTATAGCTATTCTTGGGATGCACAATTTGATAACGAATACACAGTTCTGTAATATAGTGGGAAGTAGTAATGGCGTTGACCAAGAACATTTTTCAAGTGAGTACTTAAAATGGTTTGTGAATTCTAATCCTTTATTAAATGTATTTTGTTATTACCTTGTGTCAGCTTCAGTATTCACATACTAGTTGTTATATACATGTACTTGAAACTTGACGTTTCAGTTTGGTGGTACTAATCCAGAAAGCCATTGTAAACAGGGTATTGAGCCGGGCGCGGTGGCTCAAGCCTGTAATCCCAGCACTTTGGGAGGCCGAGGCGGGTGGATCATGAGGTCGAGAGATCGAGACCATCCTGGTCAACATGGTGAAACCCCGTCTCTACTAAAAATACAAAAAAAAAAAAAAAAAAAAATTAGCTGGGCATGGTGGCACGTGCCTATAATCTCAGCTACTCAGGAGGCTGAGGCAGGAGAATTGCTTGAACCCAGGAGGCGGAGGTTGCGGTGAGCCGAGATCACGCCATTGCACGCCAGCCTGGGTAACGAGGGCGAAACTTCGTTCTCAAAAAAAAAAAAAAGAAAAAGAAAATAGGGTATTAAATATTTTGTCCTTAATATGTCAGCAAATGTAATAAAACCACTCTACGCCACTAATAATAACCAATATAAAAGCTAGTCAAACTTGGTTTTGTTGATATTTTATCACTATTACTAATTTTCAAGAAATGCATAACAATACTGACAAAGAAATTGTGTTATAAAATCAGATTCAGGAGAAACCACAAATCTATTCATCTTTAGGAATAGACCACTGAAAGCTTTAGGAAAAGCTTTCAGTCTGATGTGAAGTATTATATAGCATAAAGCAGAGCTTTTCAGAAATTCATTTGTAGGGGCCAGGTGTGGTGGGTCATACCTGTAATCCCATTTTCTGAGGTGGAGGCAGGAGAATTGTTTGAATCCAGGAGTTCAAGATCAGCGTGGGAAATGTAGACCCCCATCTCTACAAAATTTTAAAAATTAGCTAGGCATGGTGGCACATGTCTCTAGTCTTAGCTACTTGGGAGGCTGAGGTGGGAGAATGGCTGAGCCCAAGAGATTGAGGCTGCAGTAAGCCGTGATCATGATACTGCACTTTGAGCCTGGGGGACAGAACAAGATCCTGCCTCAAAAAAAAAAAAAAAAAAAAAATTCATTTATAGGATATTCTGTCTTTAATTTCAGTTATTTTATTTTATTAGGGTATTCTTAAATTAGCAAGGTGATACATGCCTTTGTAGCACATTTAAGCAATACGTAAGTATATGTGGGAGAAGTAAAAGTGTCTTCAGCCATCATGCCCTTTACTTCCCCAAACATCACCCTTTTAACAATTTGGTATATACCCTTCCAGACTTTGCACTGTTTATGCTAATGTATACATGTTATACATAGTCTCTTGTTTTTTACAAAAATGGGATTATACTGTAAATATTTATTGCAACTTAATTTTTTAATAATTCTATTTGCTAAATTATTATTATTATTTTTATTATTATTTTTTTTTTGAGTCTCACTCTGTCACCCAGGCTGGAGTGCAGTGGCACCATCTTGGCTTACTGCAACTTCGCCTCCCAGATTCAAGCATTTCTCCTGTCTCACCCTCCTGAGTAGTTGGGATTACAGGTGTGCATCCCCACTCCCGGCTAACTTTTTTTTGGTATTTTTAATATTTTTGTATTTTAGTTTCGTCATGTTGGCCAGACTGGTCTCAAACTCCTGACCTCAGGCAATCTGCCTTCCTCAGCCTTCCAAAGTGCTGAGATTACGGGTGTGAGCCAGTGCACCCGGCTAACTAAATGTTTTTGAATGCTTGCTATGGGCCGTATTCTGAGCACAGCTCTTGGATGTGGAGTACTCTCATTAGCCCTCATAACAGTTCTGTGAAATAGATATTATTATCTTTAATTTGCATGTGAGGAAGCTGAGATTTTGAAATAATTAAGTAACCTCAATATTTTACACAAAATCAGTGGTAAGGATTTTAACCCATGTTATAGTGTGTATCCCTTAGCAATGGACCATATTTCTAGTTAGTATGTATACATCTACTTCATACAGACAAGTGTATAACATTCCATTTTATGATGTTTTGTAATTTGGCCATCCCCCTTCTCATTTTTAAGTTTTTATTGTAGAAATGTTGAGACATACATAAGAGGTAATAATATACTCCTTACCCAGCCTCAGCTGTTTTTTTAACATTTGCCAGCCTTGGTTCATTCATCTCTGCCTCCCTCCCTAACCCTTCTACTTTTTTTCCTGAAGTATTTTAAAGCAAATCCTGTTCATTTGTATTATATCACCTATAAATATTTCCATACGTTTTCCTCACAAATAAAGGTTTTTAAAAAATGTAATCATGATGCCATATTGTTAAAAATTAACAGTATTTTCTTCATATCATCTAATAAACAGTCTGTGTCCAGATTTCCTCTATTCTCTCAAAAATGTCATTTCGTGATTGGCTCAAAAAAGGTTACACACTGCATTTGGTTGTTTGTCTTTTTAGTCTCCCTTAATTTCTTAACAGTTCTCCTTAACCTCTTTCCCTTTTTTTTTTTTTTTTTTTTAAATGCCATTTATTTTTTAAGAAACCAGGTTATTTGTTATAGAATTTTCCACACTCTGGATTTGGCTGATTTCAACCTTATGGTATCATTTTATGTTTTTCTATCACCTGTGTTTCTAGTGGCTTGTGGTCTAGTGGCTTGATGAGATACAGGTGCAGGTCCCTTTTGGCAACCATGCTTCATGAGTGGTGGAATCACATTAAGAAGCTTATCAAGTCTGATCCTTCCTCTTTGGGGGAATGAGATTGATCAGTGGGTTCAGATGTAGGCAGCCTGATCCTTCCATTTTAAGTTCCGCATGAACTTTTTGCTTAATAATTTCTGCATCCCATTGACTGGATTCATTATTTCATTAAGGGGCAAGGCTCTTGAGATTTCTTTCCCCACTCCACAGGATGTGGTTTTTGGTTTTATAAAATAAGAACTCATTCAATTTTGCATTCAGTGAGGAAGTTCTTCCCTAGCCATCTTGAAGACTGCCTTGCTGAACTTAAGTAAGAGGGAGTCCACTCTCTGTTGTTTAGCAGAGCTCCATTCGGAAGCTTTTCCTAGTCTTGAACCAAGTTCTGCTTCTTGGCAATCTGTACGTGTTCTAATCCAGCCTTTCAGAACAGCACTAAATTTATCTCTTCTCGACTTCTACAGGATAACTCTGAAAACAGCTAGCATACCTTCTTTTAATATGTACTTCTCCAGACTAAATATAATCAGATGTTTCACCTGACCTCAGGAAAGTAATTTTCAATCCTTCACCTGAGTTGATCTCCTCAAGATGCTGTGTGTGTGTGTGTATTTGAAAGTAACAAGATAGTCTTAGATGGAATTTATTGGATAATCAGTGCACCCTGTCTCAAGATGAGTTTTGCTCCTAAAATCTAGAGGAAGGCAGGAAGGAAAAAAGCCAAATAGTAGTCCATTTTGAACCCAGTCAGTCTTTCCATGTCAGTTGCTCTTACTTTTTTGTGGTCATTTACCAGTTTGTGAGCTTTTGTGGTCTTTGAATTGAATGACCACAAAAAAGTAATGTTTTCCCCCAAAAATCTATCCATAAAAGTTTACCTTTTATAGGTGTCCATAGACCTCCACACACATGTATCAGAGCACAGTGATCTCATTAAAGAGCTCAAGGATTTCAGGTCCTCTGTCTTTCAACTTTGAAGCATCATATTCCTGTTATGTGTGGGTATGTAAGGTAAAGATTAGGGAGTGAAAATGAGGGAAGGCAGTAAATTTGGGAGCTTCTGTCCCAGTAACTCTTCTGTATACCTTTACCTCCTCTCCCTCTCCACTCCTTATTCCTACCTTTCTTCCTATTCCTTCTTTCTTGCAGAAAGCTCTCCCTGTTTTCCCACTGCAGAGTACTCTCCATGGGAGGAAGAGGTAATGTGCCCTTCCATCACCTTATTCTTCTCATTTAGGCTATATTTCTTTAAGTCTGTGATTCTTACTGCCTTTATGCCAATTATCAGTCAAATCTCAGAGAAATGATGAGATGCTAGATTTTATCATGCTAATACTTAATCTTAAATATTGCTAAAAAACAAATGGCATCAACTTGTGCTATTAAATATACTTGAGTGGTAAAAATATCTTGTAATATACTAAGACAATGAAAATATTCATTTTTGAAGACTAATACATGTCCCAAAAAATGAAATGCTGAATATGTTTGGTATTTATATTCAGTAAAATTTTATTTGGATGCTTAAATATGTGTCAAGGCCATTCGTAGTGAATCATGCCTGTAATCCCAGCACTTTGGGAGGCCAAGGCGGGCAGATCACTTGAGGCCAGGAGTTTAAGACCAGCCTGGCCAATATGATGAAACCCCATCTCTCCTAAAAATACAAAAATCAGCCAGGCATGGTGGCAAGCACCTGTAGTCCCAGCTACTTGGGAGGCTGAGGCAGGAGAATCACTTGAACATGGGAGGTGGAAGTTGCAGTGAGCCAGCATTGCACCACTGCACTCCAGCCTGGGCGACAGAGTCAGACTCCATCTCAAAAAAAAAAAAAAATTAAATAAATAAATAAATAAATGTGTGTTAACACATAAAGGATCTTTAGGAATTGTGGGGATGGAACTTTTAAATCTGTTCTGTTGAATAAATATGTGTGTGTGTGTGTGTGTGTGTGAGAGAGAGAGAGAGAGAGAGAGAGAGAAAGCAACGTTACCAAGTCAATATCTGCATCCACTGTAAGAGTTATCAGCTACTGCTCTTTTCATGTATCACTGCAGATGTGGTCAAAGGTGAAAAGATTCTTCCAGTATTTGATGAGCCACCAAATCCAACCAACGTGGAAGAGAGTTTGAAGAGAATTAAAGAAAATGATGCTCATCTTGTTGAAGTTAATTTGAATAATATAAAAGTAAGTGTGTTAATCAGGGTGGTTTTGTATTGCTTCGAGTCAGTTGAACCTAGGATGAGAGCTGGGCAGCTGATAAAATAGTCTAATTCTTTCTACTTTAAAGTTTTTGCTCCTACAAGTATGCCATCATAGGTTTCTTTATGTTTTAGCTATTAAAGTATTATGGTATAGTATTTTCTAACTTGCTTTTTGAAGGATTTATCATCTAAAAATGTAAACCCTACAGACTGTCAGAATAAATCTCTCTGGTTTTCTAAATACTACCCACTTCTAAGGACATTTGGTCTCTTGGGTGTTGCTTTTTTTTTTTTTTTTTTCCCTTCGTTTTCTGAGACCGAGTTTTGCTCTTATTGCCCAGGCCGGCGTGCAATGGTATGATTGCACGCAATCAGCTCACCGCAACCTCCACCTCCCGGTTTCAAGCGATTCTTCTGCTTCAGCCTCCCAAGTAGCTGGGATTATAGGCATGTGCCACCACGCCCAGCTAATTTTGTATTTTTAGTAGAGATGGTGTTTCTCCATGTTGGTCAGGCTGATCTCAAACTCCCAACTTCAGGTGATCCACCCACCTCAGCCTCCCAAAGTGCTGGGATTTCAGGCGTGAGCCACCACATCCAGCGGGTCTTGCTTTTTTAAAATTTGGTTCCTTAGCCAGGTATAGTGGTGCATGCCTGTAATCCCAGCTACTCAGGAGACTAAGACTGGAGGATGACTTGAGCCCAAAAGTTTGAGACCAGCCTGGGCAACAGTGAGACCTACCGCTGCCCCATCTCAAAAAATAAAATAAAACTTAATTTTTTGAGGTAAAATTCTCCCTTTTAGTGTACAGTTCTATGATTTTTGACAGGTACATAAAATTTTGTACAACCACCATTACAGTCAAGATATAGAATATATCTGTCACCACAGAAGTTCTCTCATACCCCTTTGTAGTCATTCTCTGCCCCAGCTCTAGCCCTTGACAACCACTAACCTATTTTCTTTCCCTATCATTCTGCCTTCTCCAGAATGTCATATAAATGGAATCCTATAGTATCACATTTTGGGTCTGGCTTCTTAATGTAATGCATTTGAGATTCATCCATGGTGAATGTGTCAAATATGCTGCAGTTTGTCTGTCTGTTCATCAGTTGATAGACATATGGGTTCTTTCCAGTTTGGGATGGTTATGAGTACAGTCACTATATACTTTCACACACAGGTTTTTGTGTGAACATGTTTTAAATTCTCTTGAGTAAACACCTAGGAATAGGCTTTCTGGGTTCTTAATTTGAGTTTTAAATAATGCAACGCTTCCTTGGAGTATAAGGAAAGAAGAAATTAGTTAGGAGGGCATGGGGTAATTAATCACCAAAGAGTAAACTTAGGTAATCTCTTAGATATAGCCATCGTGTAATAGCTTCATTATAAATTCCTCATTTTAAAACTTGATTTTTTTTCTAATTGCGGGACAAGGGGAGGAGAGCATCTGGAAATCACATGAGCCTAGGGAAGAAGACCTCTATGCTACTCTAGGGAGTGTTCCTTCCTGTGAGTAAAAGAAGGAAAGCCTCAGAGAAACCTTATATTCTTAGTTGATTACGAACTTTTTTTTGTTTTTAGTCAGAGTCTCACTCTGTTGCCCAGGCTGGATTGCACTGGCTTGATCTTGACTCACTGCAACGTCTGCCCCACCCCAGATTCAAGTGATTCTTGTGTCTCAGCTTCCTGGATAGCTGGGATTACAGGCGCCCACCACCACACCCAGCTAATTTTTGTATTTTTAGTAGAGATGGAGTTTCCCCATGTTGGCCAGGCTGGTTTTGAACTCCTGATCTCAAGTGGTGCACCTGCCTCAGCCTCCAAGTGTTGGGATTACAGGCATGAGCCACTGCACCCGGCCTATTTTTATTTTTTAAATTTGGTCCCTGTGTATCTCCTTCTCTAAATAAACAGTAATGATCTGAAAACAACCAGACTAGAGGAAATTGAAGTCTCGGATACTACAGAGAGAAATCAGCGCCTTCAATAACTTTATTTTCTCTTCTTCAAGTAGTGTGGGGTTCATCTCTCTTAGTACTTTGTAGCTTAAACTAAGTGACTGAGAACTGTCTGCCTCAGGAATCATACTCATGAGAGATGGACTTCTGCATCTCTCTCCTTGTAGAAAAGTAAATCCACTTTAAATTTCATATAAAAGGAATAATGAAAGGTGAGAACAGTGAGCATTTTTTTTAAACCTAAGTGCTAGAGAAATGGTGATATGTGCTCTGCTGAGTCAGTAGTTTATGCAAATACTCCATCATAGAGAAGTCAGATAAATATGGAGGAAGCTGCATTATTTGTTTTCATTTGTAGACTACTCTTATGTGTTTATATAATTTCTGAATACATTTTAAAGCAAAAAAATAAAGACAGATGTACTTGATTAATGGAAACTAGATATAATGAAAATTGAAATGTAATGATGTTTTATATTATTGTCTTTCAAGAATATCCCAATTCCAACCCTAAAAGATTTTGCAAAGGCTTTGGAAACCAACACACATGTGAAATGTTTCAGTCTTGCAGCCACCCGGAGCAATGACCCTGTTGCTGCTGTAAGTAAGCTACTATTGAGAATGTCAAAATTATGACGTAGCCAGGATGTGTTAACAGTGATGATTTTTATGAACAAGGTTTATTCCTTTTTTATAGTTGATGTTTTAGCTCACTATTAGGCAGTATATTAGTTACCACCTTATTGTGTTTATTTTTTCCTGTATTTCCTTTCTATGATTTTTTTTTTCCTTTTTTTCCCCCTCCCGGCTTTCCTTTCCTTCCTATGAATTTTTTAAAACGTAAATGGAATCATGTAGTATATGTTGTTCTGCAACTTGATTTTTCACTCTGTGGTTTATCTTTAAATTTTTGTTGTATAAATACATAAGGGTCTACCACCTTTTATTTTAACATCTGCAGAGGATTCCATTTATGGTGGATTTCAGTTAAAAGCTTTTGCTGTGTCTCTTGAGATGATCATGTGGTTTTTGTCTTGCATTCTGGCGTGACTTTTATATGTTGAACCAACCTTTCATTCCTGAGATAAATCCCACTTCATCATGGTATAAACCTTTGGTTTTACTTGGCTTTGAGGATATCACTTCCTTGGGGGCTCCCCTTACGTCAGTGGACATTTCTTCTCAAAGCCCTGTGCTGGTTCCTCCATATCTCCTCAACCTCTAAATACTGGAATGGCCCAGAACTTGATCCTTCTTTTCTCTGTGTACAGTGACTTCCTGGGTGATCTCAGAAATACATATATTATTTCCATGTACTTGCTAATGACTCCCAGAGTTATATACAGTTTATACCTCTCTCCTGTACCCCATATTCATGTCCAGCTACCTCCTCAGCAGTTTTACTTGGATGTCTAATGAACATTTTACTTTTAAGTCCCTAACCAAACTCCTGACTTCCATCCTGTGCCTGCTTTTCTGTGCCCTTCTCTATCTTACTAAATGCAATTTCAGTCTTTCATTGCTCAGGCACGAAAAAAGGAAAAAAATAATGGAATCATTCTTGACATCCCTTTCTTACAACCTTAAACATACCTTTAGTCCTATCTTCAAAATATTCAGAATCCAACCACTTCTCACCATTTTTACAACTATGACCGTGATCTAAGCCACCATCTTTTCCCATCTGAATTATTGCAACAGCCTCCTAATTGGATTACCTTCATCTCTTTTACCTACCCCAGATCAATTCTTTACATAGCACCAAGAGTGATTGTTTTAAAACTTAATTTATCTCATTCCTATTTGGAGAATCCTCACAGCTTCCCATCTCACTGAGAGTAAAAATCAAACTATTTCTTTTTTTTTTTTTCCACTTAGATTTCAGAGGAAAATCAAAATATTTCAATGGTCTTATAAGGCTTCACATAAGTGGACCTCATCTCCTTTACTTGCCCTTTATTTCATTCTACTCTAGCCATATAACCTTCTTGTACTTCCTCAAACTTGCCATGTGGATTCCCAAATCAGGGCCTGTACACTTGTTCCTTCTGCCTTGAACTTTCTTCCTAAAATAATCCACAAAGCTTCACCTTATCACTTTGACTCTTTGCTCAAATGTCACCTTCTAGGTGACTTTTCCTGGTAATTCTATGTAAAATAGCAACTCCAACCCCCAATATTCCCCATCTGCCCTATTGTGCCTTTTTTCTTTTTACCCTCTAACATTGTGCTTTGGTTATTGTTATTATCTGTATCCCTCCCCAACTAGAATGAACAGTTTGCCAGGCAGGGACCAATATGTCTTATTTCTGAATCTCTAGAACAGTGCTAATCAAATAATAGACCATCATTAATATTTGAATAAATGTATGTATGGATAAGGGATTTGCTCCAGGTCACATAGCTAGTTGTTGCTAATATAAAGTACATGTATGTAGATAACAGCCACAGTTTTTTCTAGTATCTCCTATTTCCTTTCCTTTAACTTTAAGCTTGGCCTAACCCCTCTCTTCTATAGTTTAACCTTGCTTTTGATCCCTCTAAGGGGCTGTTTTATATAAACTCATGCTCATTCTTCTTTCCTCTTCTTCCCCTCCTTCCTTCCCTTCTTCTCTCTTCCTGCCTCTCTCTCTTTCGTTCCCAGTTTCCCTCCTCTTTCTTTTTTCACTCATAGGCTTCTGCTAATTAATCAATATGGCATTTATTAAGCACTGAGTCAAATGTCTAACACTGTACCATATCCTGTGAGAAATGAAACAGAAGCAGATTGAAGACATACCATTTACTTGAGGAATTTAATATTTCCTTAGCCCCTTCTTCTCAGTGGCCTTTGTGCTCTTCTGGTTCTGATTATCTATGTTCCTTTCTGGCTTTCTGCCTTGACCACTGCTTTTCGCCTCTGCCTTTGGAAATTAGTACATAATTTACCCTCATTTTGGCTTCACATTATCCAGCTACAGCAAGACCCAAATAAGAAAAGATGATCCAGGGACATTGATAAAGCTGGTCTAACACAGAAACTGAAAGAATGAGGGAGACAGAAGAAAGAAGCATGAAGTAGGGAATGAGGAGTAGAGATTATCACCAATAGGGAGTTACATGTGACCAAAAAAATCTAAGGATCATGACAGGGTACATATGAAAAGTAGGTGCAGGCCAGGTGCAGTGGCTCATACCTATAATCCCAGCACTTTGGGAGTCCGAGGTGGGTGGATCGCTTGAGCCCAGGAGTTCAAGACCAGCCTGGGCAACATGGTGAAACTCCATCTCTACAAAAAATACAAAACTTAGCCCAGATGGTAGCGCACAACAGTAGTCTCAGCTACCCAGGAGGCTGAGGTAGGAGGATCAGTTGAGCCCAGGAGGCAGAGGTTGCAATGAGCTGTGATCATGCCACTGCACTCCAGCCTGGGTGACAAGGTGAGACCTGTCTCAAAAATAAAGAAAAAGAAAAGTAGATACAGTCATCCATGAGTTCAACCAACTTAAGATCAAAAGTGGAAAAAAAATTCCATGAATTTCCAAAAGTAAAACCTGAATTTGCTGTATGCCAGGTACTATGTTGAATCCATGAGAATGAAGTGATGTGTAGGCATTGTATTTGATGTTTTTGTTTGTTTTTGTTTTTGAGATGAAGTCTCTGTTGCCCAAGCTGGAGTGCAGTGGCACGATCCCATCTCACTGCAACCTCCACCTCCCAGATTCAAGCAATTCTCCTGTCTCAGCCTCCCAAGTAGTGGGACTACAGGCATGCACCACCATGCCCGGCTAATTTTTTTGTATTTTAGTAAAGTCGGGGTTTCACTATGTTGGTCAGGCTGTGATCCTGACCTTGTAATCCGCCCACCTCGGCCTTCCCAAGTGCTGGGATTACAGGCGTGAGCCACCACACCTGGCCTGTATTAGGTATTTTAAGTAATCTAGAGATAATATAAAGCAGGCGTCCTCAAACTTTTTACACAGGGGGCCAGTTCACTGTCCCTCAGACCGTTGGAGGGCCGCCACATACTGTGCTCCTCTCACTGACCACCAATGAAAGAGGTGCCCCTTCCTGAAGTGCAGCGGGGGGCTGGATAAATGGCCTCAGGGGGCCGCATGCAGCCCGTGGGCTGTAGTTTGGGGATGCCTGATGTAAAGTATACAGGAGGATATATGCAGGTTATATACAAATACTACACCATTTCATATAAGGCACTTGAGCATCTGAAGATTTTGTTATCTGCGTGGTCCTGGAACCAACCCCCAGTGAATATTGAGGGACAGCTGTACATTTGAGAGCTGTGCGGTACTGTGTGAAACCGAAACAACTAACTACAAACATTAAGGCAGTTATGTCAATTAATGTATTTTTTTTATGGCATGTACAATATGTAGTAGGTACTATATCAAATTTTAATCTCTCAATATTTTCTTTAATTTCTAGGCTTTTGCAGAAATGCTGAAAGTGAACAAAACTTTGAAGAGCTTAAATGTGGAGTCTAACTTTATCACAGGAGCTGGGATTCTAGCACTGATTGATGCCTTAAGAGATAATGAAACCCTGGCAGAGCTCAAGATTGACAATCAGGTCAATGTTATACAACAGTAACTTCGAGAAAACTACAGCCTACACTGCTATGTAGTGCTTGGCAACTCAGGATGGGGATGGGAGAAGGGCTGTCAGGGATTCTTGTTGGAAGATGGTGGGCTGAAAGGAGAGGACATTTGGGGTATCTAGAATATTAACTTAATGTGTATAATGGTGTATACAATGTAAAGGTGTATACTCTCCCTAGATAATTTTAAGAGAATTTAGATGGCTATCCAGTTTGAATTGAGAGGACTCTTCCATGTGATTTAGTCTGCCTTCCAGTTTTTCAGCTCTGTGCTGGTAAGGTCCACATTGTAGGCTTTTTGTAAGTAAGAGGCAGAGAGATACATGTTAGAAATGTTTCCATCCAGAGTAGCTATTAATTTTTTTATTAGAAAAATTAACTGCAGTTATTTGAAAAAATACTTGGTAAATATCTCCTTCAGTCCCTCTAAGTAAATAAATTATATAAACTATGTAGGTAGAAAAAAGGATTATGTCTTAAAATTTAACCCCATGCATCTTAATCCATGTTTTAAACTTTTTTTTTTTTTTTTTTTTTTTTTTGGAGACGAGTTTCGTTCTCGTTACCCAGGCTGGAGTGCAATGGCGCGATCTCGGCTCACCGCAACCTCCGCCTCCTGGGCTCAGGCAATTCTCCTGCCTCAGCGTCCTGAGTAGCTGGGATTACAGGCACGCGCCACGACGCCCAGCTAGTTTTTTGTATTTTTAGTAGAGATGGGGTTTCACTATGTTGACCAGGATGGTCTCGAACTTTCGACCTTGTGATCCACCCGCCTCGGCCTCCCAAAGTGCTGGGATTACAGGCTTGAGCCACCGCGCCCGGCTTTAAACTTTTATTGAGATATAATTATATACAGTAAGGGTATACAGTTAAATGCTTTTTAGTATATTTTTAGAGTTTTGCAGCCATTACCACTAATTCCAGAACATTTTCATTACCCTAAAAAGAAACCCCATCCCCATTAGCAGTCATACCCCTTTCACCAGGCTCTGGCAGTCACTTATCTACTTTCTGTTTTTTAGGATTTCTGGACAGCTTATATCTGCAGAATCAAACAATATGTGATCTTTTTGTGACTGGCTTCTTTCACCTAGCATAATGTTCTGGAGGTTCATCTGTATTGTAATATACTCAGTACCTCATTCTTCTATGACTGAATATTATTCTATTCCATTTGGCATATATCCACTTATGGGTCACTAGAAATAATGCTGATGTGAACATTCATTACAAACTCTTGTATGGACATAGATTTTCATTTCTATTCAGTATATAGCTAGGAGTGTAATTGCTGGGTCATATGGTAACTTTGTGTTTAACTTTTAAGCAGCAGCCAGACAGTTTTTCATAGTAGCTCCACCATTTTACCTTCCTCCCGGCAATGTCTCCATTTTTCCACATTCTTGTCAACACTTGTTATTATCTATCTTTTTTATTATAGTTATCCTAGTGGGTATGAAGTGATATGTCATTATAGTAATTCACACTTTTTTGATGTCTATATGATCATATTACTGAACTTTATTTTGGAAAAAAAAAAGGTGTGTGTGTGTGTGTGTGTGTGTGTGTGTGTGTGTTTGTAATATAGTTCCACTGAGGTTGTGGTGATGATTGGGTCAGTGGGTAAACTCAGCTTCCTGTGACAAACATTTCACAGCCTTAAGTAACCAGTTTTCTACAACAAACAAACAATTTGTTCTCAGTTACAAATCAGTCCTTGGAACTACTGAAATATGTATGTCTTGTAGGAATTGGGAACCTTTAAAGAGATCAACAGAATCAGCATGTGCCTGAATGTCTTAATTTACCTTAAAAAGTATTTTGATCTAGTTTATTAATATTGTTCTTTTTTTCTAATTATTCCAGAGGCAGCAGTTGGGGACAGCTGTAGAATTGGAAATGGCCAAGATGCTTGAAGAAAATACAAATATCCTTAAATTTGGTTATCAGTTTACGCAGCAGGGACCACGAACCAGGGCAGCTAATGCTATAACAAAAAACAATGACTTAGGTAAGACATAGACAGTATCAATCAAGTTTCTGAATTCTTTCATAAGCTAATGTATTGAGAGAACTTCTTTCCCCTTTAAGAATAAATTTTAACAGAGAAGTTATTTCGCCTTTGTTTCTACAATCTGCATGGTCCTTTTTATATTGATTGAATTCAAGTTCAGTTTAAGTAAGTTTGTAGTGATGATTGGGTTAATGGGTAAAATCAGCCTCTGTGACAAACATATTTCATAGTTTTAAATTACCAGCTTTCTACAACAAGCAAACAGTTTGTTCTCAGTTACAAATCAGTCCTTGGAACTATTGAAACAAAGATTGCAACATTACAGGAAAGTTTTTTGCCCTTTTAGTCAAACAGACCTAGACAGAAATTCAGTTTTATCTAATAGAATATGGACTATAGAAATATATAAAATAGGCCGGGCGCGGTGGCTCAAGCTTGTAATCCCAGCACTTTGGGAGGCCGAGGCGGGTGGATCATGAGGTTGAGAGATCGAGACCATCCTGGTCAACAAGGTGAAACCCTGTCTCTACTAAAAATACAAAAAATTAGCTGGGCATGGTGGCGCGTGCCTGTAATCCCAGCTACTAAGGAGGCTGAGGCAGGAGAATTGCCTGAACCCAGGAGGCGGAGGTTGCGGTGAGCCAAGATCGCGCCATTGCACTCCAGCCTGGGTAACAAGAGCGAAACTCCGTCTCAAAAAAAAAAAAAAAAAAAAAGAAATATATAAAATAGAGAATAATTGTAGTTCTTACCCAGGTTTTATAATCTGGTATGTAGGTGTTTGCTAGTCTTCCTAACAGGACTATTGTGGAACTGTCTTCTCACTGCATACATCTAGGTCAGTAATCTCTCATTCACCTATGTTTTCTATTTAATTGCTTGAGGCTTGTGGCTTCCATTTGAAATAGATTGTCCAGCCAAAGCTGAATTAAAGAATATGGTGCTTAGAATTTTATTCTACGTTTCCAAAAGTTGACTGTTTTAAATTAGGATGTTTGCCATTGAAGTATTTTTAAAGATGTCTTTTAGACAAGAAGTAAAACAAGACTTCTCAAAAGGAGTGATATTTCAAAGTGTTGCCATTCTCTTAAGCTTCAGCCATATTTGAGTTTGCATTCTGTAAGTTTCTGGAGCAGGAAAAAATTAGCACTTCATTCCTTTATTAACTCAGACCCTTTCTGTCCTTTATATGACAGTGGTTCTCCAGAGGAGATTTTTAGCTGCTTGCTTTTGAAAAGAGAAAATTGGTGTGTTTTGGTGTATTGTTGATTACAGATGTAGTTTGCAAAGTCATGCTAATTGTTTTAGTATTGCTTCACTAGTTAGCTTCTATTTTTTCCTTCCAGCCTTTAATTTTGCTTCTTAGAGCAGTGTTTTAAGAGAACGTCATAAAGAAGTGCTAGCTAGACTTCATAAATGATTGGAGAGCTTTAAAAACACATAGGTTATTGGCTTAAAATGGTTTTCTTCACCCCCAAAAAATGGTTGACCAGGGCCTCGGGACCATCACATAACCCTACTTTGATGGATAATGAAGCTGAGTGCTCTGTTGAATGTTTACTGTGTTGTCATTAGTGCACTGTGCAACCACGAGGTACAGATACTATTGTTCTCCTATAATACAGGATAGGTTGAGACTCAAAGAAGTTAACTAACTTGCCAAAAAACACACTACAGAAAACTGACAGAGCAAGTTTCCTTGGAGGTTCTGATTTAGTCTGTGATGGGATTTGGGTTGTAGGCATTTCACACTCAGGAACCCTGGCCTGTTTCTCCAGTGTTGAGTGGATATTTGAGTTTCTGAGTTCATCATTGTTATATATCTTAAGCAGGTGTGCCCATAGCATGTCACATTTTTTAAATTGCCTTTTACTCAAAAAATTAGTTATATGTAATAGTCTTACTTACAAAGACTATATGCTTTTTGAGGGCAGGGACCATGTTGGCAGGAGCCATGTCCAACTATTGAATCCCAACACTGTTAAAACCATGCCTGATGCACAATAGGTACTTAAGAAAATGGGATTAAGTGAATAAATAAGTAGTACAATATGGACTTTCTGACAGTTACAATTCACTGGTACCTAAATAGCCATAAACTAAGCCAGAAGTGTGCTCCAGTTTTCCTCTCCTTGGAAACTACCTTAACAAATCCCAGAATCCCACAAATGACTAGATTTTCAGATGTGGGTCTCAGGCATGAAATGATAATAAGCACATTCCTGGATAGGGCAATTATGGATAAAAGCTCCAATTTGAGAGCCAACAATTTAAGAGTATGCTGATGACAGACTGCAGATTTTAAGAACTGACTCTCAATAGCATGATGCTGACTCTAGAATAAACTTTCAGTAAGTATTTGTTGTTTAAAGCTAACATTTAAAAAGTTGTATCAGGCCAGGTGTGGTGGCTCATGCCTCTAATCCCAGTACTTTGGGAGGCTGAGGCAGGTGGATCACCTGAAGTCAGGAGTTCAAGACCAGTCTGACCAACATAAAGAAACCCTGGCTCTATTAAAAATACAAAAATTAGCTGGGTGTGGTGGCACAGGCTTGTAGTCCTAGCTACTTGGGAGGCTCAGGCAGGAGAATCGGTTGAACCTGGGAGGTGGAGGTTGCAGTGAGCCAAGATTGTGCCACTGCACTCCAGCCTGGGAGAGAGAGCAAGACTCCGTCTTAAAAAAAAAAAAAAAAAAAAAGGCTTTTATCAGCAGATTTAAGAGGGACTGTTGGTACTGTTGGTAGAATACACTAAAATTACATGACAAAGAACTTCGATTTATTTGGATTTTTTGCAGGAGGCATTTGAAAGCCATTAGAGGCCACTGAATAAATGATTAAGATACTTTTTTTAAAAATTGCCCTTATTGTTCTTTTATAGTTAGAAAATGAGGTTAGTTAGACATTCAAAATTAACTAATGATGACCTATTGACAACTTATATCAGTGTAATGTGTTTGGGAAAGAAATTGGACCAGATCCAAAGAATTTGTTAGTAGGGCAAAAATTATAAGCCTGCCATCTAGAGGATGAACTGAGGAATTGCTGGAAGGTAACAAGTGAGCACCAGGTGAGAAAGAGGAGTCAGAAATGACCTGTTGTTCTCTGCTGTGCACACAGTGGCAGCAGCCTTTCATTCTTGCACTCAGCTGAATTTTTTTTCAGCTGTATACTCTTAACTTCTGCCTAATAGATAAAGATGGAAAACCTGAAGACTAGGTTTTCTGACATACTGGTCTCAGCAGCCTCAAAAGAGATCATCAAAGAACAAAACCTTGTACAGAATCTCTTGGAAATATAGTTCTTTTTCACCTTGTAGATGGGCCTCTATCAGATCTTCGTGTTCTGATTTTGATAACTTCATTCCTTCTCTCATTGTTTTCTTAGTCTCAGCTATTAGTTGAAATAATTTTGCCTACTCTCCATCTCTTCAGCTAAGAAGTGTCACAGCTGTAACAGCAAAGAGGTTCTATGGTATACATGCAATATTCTATTTACCCTTGAGTCTCACATTAGTATCTTTACACTAGCTAACTACATATTCTATTTTCTAGACCTTTTTTGGTTGTTGTACTCTGTCCTATAGATCTTTTTATAACATGCATTATTATTTTAGCATCTGAAGTGGTATGCCAATAACATCCAAACCCTGCTGCAATTCAGAATTTTCTTTGAAATTTCTACCGTAAATAATTATCTGAAGTTTGCCTTTCAGACATTTCTGTATTTTTCAAAGATCTATATACATGATTTGATATTTGAGGGCTCCTCTCCATTTAATTTTTTTCTTAATATTTCTGTGAACACGTGAGCTTCTTCTTTGTTAGTGTGGATTAAAATTAGTTCCTTGCTTTGACAGCACATACACTAAAATTGGAATGATACAGAAAAGATTAGCAATGGCCCCTTGCAAGGGTGACACACACATTTATGAAACAATCCCTATTTTTATCGACTTCTGGCAAAAAAATAAATAAATGATAAAATAAAGTTAGAGTCAGGCAAACTTTATTAGATAAGTATAAAAATGTTCATGGGAACCTGAAACTTTAGTCCTTCTGGTTTGATTTTCAAGTGAGCACCCCGCTTATGGCTGAACAAGATTTTATACGCTTCATCCGAACATATGGTCTTATCTATTAAAGGCTGACAAACAAAAGCCAGTGGTCAGAATAGCACAAGAGCAGAGTGTCTATGGCTTGGCCTGGACACCAGGTGCACCTGTTGGCTTCTAGTTTCTCTGTCATACAGCCAGTTTAGGCCAAAATACACACTACAGAAGTGACAGAGCCATGATTCACTCTATTTGTCACTGACTCTGGAACCTGTGGTTTTTGTCCTCTCTAGGAACTCGCCACAATGCTGAGAGCCCTGAATGGGTGGCACTCAATGAATGTTCTCTAGTGGCTGATAGGTGAGAGTACAGGTAGCAAGATCTGAAGTTGAAGACCTTGTTCTGCTACCAGAGAGCACCCCTGAGTAGTTTGGTGTCACCAGTCCAGGAAGAGGCTGGTAGTCTCAGATACATGCATGTACCATTCTTTGCTGCATCAGCTGAGCTAGTTGGCTGGCCACTTAGGCATCAAAGTTTATGGTAGCCAGAAGTGACTGCATCATATTACCAGGGTCTGAGATTTTCATTACTTTGCATTTGTTCTTTTGTCAGACCTTGGACTGGTTTATTTTACAGGAGACAAGAGAAGGAAAATTCAGAAAGCAGTAGCAAATCACTTACCTATAAAAATGTCAAAAATGTTTTTGGTATATTCTTTGACAGCCTAAGGAAATACATTGTAATGTCTAATCAGGAGAGCATGCAAATAGTTACTTTCACTATGTTCTAACCCCAGCTGCCTGAATTTCACTTCAGAATTTAAGACACTAATTTATTAGCTGCTTTTTCAAACCTAAGTATATACTTTTTCAGTAAACAAATGACTTGGGCTGGGCGCAATGGCTCACACCTGTAATCCCAGCACTTTGAGATGCTGAGGCAGGCAGATCACTTGAGCCCAAGAGTCTGAGACCAGCCTGGGAAAGATAGTGAGATGTCGCCTCTATTTTATTAGTAAAATAAATTACAAAGTTAAAAATAAAAACAAATGACTTGTAGATGATTGGTGACCATTCTGTTTTAGATTTCTAGCACTGCTGCTGTGTAAGCACAGCTATGAGTCAGTGAGCCTTAGGGCACGTAGTTCTTGTTTTGAAACCCCTCTGTTCTCAACAAGTAAATGACACTGGTGAATGATGTGAAGTAGATTTTGTCTTTTTTAACTTAATGGTCATAGGAACTGGAAATTGACATTTCAATTTTGTAAAGCTTATAACTTGTTACAAGCAAGTTACCATTGTAAAAACTAATAGGGATTTCTAACATATTTTCTTTTCTTTTTCTCATAGTGCGTAAGAGACGAGTTGAAGGAGACCACCAGTAAGTCTACCAAGGTATAATCTTTGGAAGACTTCAGAAGATCACCAAGGGCTCATGTTGGTGACATCAGATGTAAAATTTTCCTGGGTAGAAGGGAAAAGACTGGAAAAATTTTTTTAGTGACATGCATTTTTTTTTTATTATTTTTTTTTAGTTTAAGTTGTTATTAGTTTCAAATTGTAAAATCAGTAATAAGGTGATATTTTAATATTCTGAAACATTTCTACTTTCTGCTAAAATCAGTTTTAGCTTAATTGAATGATTGATGATGAATCTCGGGTAAAAAAATATAATTGTAAAAAATTTTACAAGTCATTTGTGTAGAATAATTTGAACATTGTGAGGACCAATCTTTTTTAAATCAACAGGGATATTGCTGGTATCAGAATTGCTATTGCTTCATTTAGATGTAAAATGCTTAAGAGCTTTCTTCATTTCGTGACCTGGAGACTTTTCCATTTTTAAAAATACATGAACTTGGCAACAGTGTGATTTTTCTTTATCAAGAGAACAAAATGCTAGAATTCTTAAATGGTTGACTAAAAATCTGGTCATTTGTGTAGGAGCTAACGCAGGTCTCCAGGGAGAGATGGTGGTCATCTGTGCATTTCAGGTTGCTGTACTTGTCTGATGTGATGCAGCAACACCCAGGTTTTTTTTAAAACAAAGTCATCAGCTTTACCAGGTTAAATACTTTGTTTAAAAGCATAGTGAGGTCTAAGTTCATTCCAGTGTTTCATTTTAATAATGTGGGCATTATTAAATTTTTGTGAAAGCTAATGGTAAAAAACATCGAAGTACAAAAGCTGTTTTCCTCCCCATAAAAAAAGGCATACAGCCAACTCTTAGTTATTTAGAGTAAGAGAAAAAAGAGAACTGTTAAGCAATGAAGTCAAAGATAATAAATATGATGGAATTCCAGTAGGAGGCACTTGCAAAACAATCATTTAAACTGATGGTTACTGTAAGTCATTTAGAAGCTGACATGTATGTAAATTACTTGGTGTTACATAGTATCCTAAGAAGTATATGCAGTGCAGAATTGCATAAATAGTATTTAATCACTTCTACAAATCTTCCAACCAAGAAGGAAAACTGCTGTTCTTCATAAATCTGATTTTTAGTATATGCTTCCTTTCATCTTATACTTTTATCCATATTTATAAAAGTCATTTCTATAATAAAAGCGGTCTTTCTTGGTCAAAGTATTAAAGTGAACAACTGAATAGAGTACTGTGGTCGGGAAAATGATTCAAGACTGCAGAGCTGATGCTGGGTAGAGGGTTTGGACTTGTATTCGTGTCCTGTCTCGGGGCAGCCCCTGGAGCAGGAGGTGGCAGAGGCATTTATAGCTGCAGAAAACAGGGAGGACTGGAGGTAACCCTGGCCTCAAAATTCAGGCCTGGCTGTATCATTTACAGAGATTTTTCTGAAGGGAAGAATCTCATTTCTGAGGGTGGGGGCAGGGTGGCTTGTCATTATTAATTTTTTTTTTCTTTTTTAACTTTTTGGGCTGGGCAAGGTGGCTCACTCCTATAATCCCAGCACTTTGGGAAGCCAGGGTGGATCACTTAAGGTCAGGTGCTCAAGACCAGCCTGGCCAACTTGATGAAACCCCATCTCTACTAAAAATCAAAAAATTAGCCAGGTGTGGTAGTGTGCCCCTGTAATCCCAGCTACTCAGGAGGCAGAGACAGGAGAATCGCTTGAACCTGGGAGATAGAGGTTGCAGTGGGCCGAGATCGCACCACTGCACTGCAGTCTGGGCGACAGAGCAAGACCCTGCCTCAAAAAAAACAACAACAACAACAAAAAATCTTTTTGAAATTGAATTGCAGTATGTCTGCTACTTTGGCTTGGGCTGGACAGTTTCTCTAATGAACCAGGCAGCTTCTTGTGTGCTATGGTAATAAGCCTTCTTAACAGGCTAAGCTTCACTCATAAGAACTGTGGTGTGTTTCTTTGGTTTTGTTTTGTTTTGTTTTGTTTTTAAAATCACAATCCAATGTTTTATAGGGGTCAAAGATTAAACTTGCACTATTCCCTTTCAGTTAAAGGCCACTGATATTTTTCCAAGTTAGCAAGGCTCACTTGCTTGCTTTCCTGCCCTCCCTTCCTCCATTCCTCTCCCTTCCTACCTTCTCTGTTTCCCTGTTTCTCTCCCTCCCTCCTTTCTTCTCCCTTCTTCTTCTTTTTTTTTTTTTTCATATGCAGCTTTTGAATTGTACTTGAGTTTATAGAGACTTCACAGTTCCAACAAGATTGGGAGTCAGGCATGGAGCAGGCATCTCAGGCTACCAGAAAGAATTGGTCACATAGACTTTCAGTCAGGCATCCTCATTTGCATTGTCCTGTAAGTCAATCAATTGATAAATAGTTCCCCCTTCGTCTCTTAAGTTTTTGTTTTGTTTTGTTTTGTTTTGTTTTGTTTTGTTTTGTAGGTGGGACTCTACCTAGAATTTTGTATCATACTTATGGGTAATATCTTTTTCATATATTATTTATCAAAGTATGAAGTTGAGTATTTTGCTTGTACCATTTCAGTTTTGCATTATAATAGTTCATTGTATAACTGAAAGAAAGGGTTTCTTCATAAGTAACATTAAATATGAACAGTCATCCAATTGAATATAGAAAATCTTTCAAAATTTAAGGGAGAAAAATTGTGTTTACTTCGATCTTTAAAAATCTGGCACCTCTTAGTAACTTTCAGTATTTCTAAATTGCTCTAAAATTTTATAATAAATAGATTAGGATTTTGCAGTAGTCAATTTTTTTGTTTGTTTGTTTTTGTTTTTGTTTTTTTTTTGAGACGGAGTTTTGCTCTTGTTACCCAGGCTGGAGTGCAATGGCACGATCTTGGCTCACCGCAACCTCCGCCTCCTGGGTTCAGGCAATTCTCCTGCCTCAGCCTCCTGAGTAGCTGGGATTACAGGCACGCGCCACCATGCCCAGCTAATTTCTTGTGTTTTTAGTAGAGATGGGGTTTCACCATGTTGACCAGGATGGTCTCGATCTCTTGACCTCATGATCCACCCGCCTCGGCCTCCCAAAGTGCTGGGATTACAGGCGTGAGCCACCGCGCCCAGCTGCAGTAGTCAATTTTTAAGCCAAAGGTTTTCTGAGACCTTAGGTTTTGTAGTCTAACCAGCTTATCTGGCTATATAAAAGAATATTCTTTGCATTTTAAAATTGCTATATTTAAAAAAGCTTTTTATTACTCATTTTATAAAATGTTAAATTCATATTGGTCTGAATTTTTCCAGTATGCCTACATGAAATTGTATGTTTTAAAAACTCAATATTAGTAACAAATATTAATACTACTAAAATGGATTTTGGTGCTATATTCTTGTAGCTAAAGCCTAGTAGAAGTCTCAAGAATAGCTAAAATACGCTTTCAGAGGTTGCCTGTCATTTAAAAGATCAAATAAGAATGTTGTATTAAATTAATTAGTGGATGGTTAGAGACTTGAAGGAGAGTTAGCTTGGTCATTTAATTGAGACTTCTTGTTGTTTGAATGAAATAACCCACATCCTTGCCTTTTATAAGAGGTGCACTCTGGGGAAGTTACGTGTAAATAGAACTCTATAAATTGTTTTCCAGTTCACCAAGTATCTGATGTGTTTTCATTTAAAAAGAGGATTCCATGATACAATAAAATTATTTTTAAAAAAGTTTTGATAAAATGTTACTCATGTCATATTGTACATTATATTTAACTCTTGCTGTCATTAAAATAAGATGAAAGCATTTACGGAATTTTAAAAAATCTTACATTTTAGGGTCTGTGTTTCCAGGGCTGCCTCACTTTTTCCGTGTAAAACCAGGAATCACTGTTAACCTCCCAGCAGATCCAAGGATCAAACTTTCTCTGGAGTCTATAGCCAATACTATCCAACTTCTCATTCTACAGTGCTACTGCACTTTGAATGTATTGACCCATGGAACCCAAGAGAAGCAAACATGGATGCACTAGTGATGACTCAGGTTGCTGCTGTGAGTTCTTGGGGTCTAAGTATCTAAAATTATCCTTTTCATCAGCTCTCACTGATCATTAATGTTTCTGTATATTTCTTACCAACAAATCAAAGAAACTCTTCACTAATTATTTTTAAATTGAGAAAATACTATTCAGAGGCAAAGGTTTTTATATTCTTTTTTGAAACCGAGTCTCGCTGTGTTGCCCAGGCTGAAGTGTAGTGGCACGATCTCAGCTCACTGCAACTTCCGCCTCCCAGGTTCAAGTGATTCTCCTGCCTTAGCCTCCTGAGTAGCTATGGTTACAGGCACCTGCCACCATGCCTAGCTAATTTTGGTATTTTTTAGTAATGACAGGGTTTTACCATGTCGGCCAGGTTGATCTCAAACTGACCTCAGGTTATCTGCCCACCTGAGCCTCCCAAAGTGCTGGGATTATAGGCGTGAGCCACTGTACCTCGCCTTATTTTTATATTTCAATTTGGTCATTCTTTTCTTATGTCTACAGATTGAGCATCCCTAATTGCAAACTTTTTGAGTGCTAACATAGTGCTCAAAAGAAATGCTTATTGGAGCCTTTCGAATTTTAGATTTTCAGATTAGAGATGCTGAACTGTATAATGCCCAGAATTCCAAAATCCAAAATAATTTGAAATCTGAAATACTTACGGTCCCAGCATTTAGGATAAGGGATACTCAACATGTATTGATTTTTCTCTACTGTAATACAGTTTTATAAGTTCTTCTCTATCACTTGAATGAATTAGAAAGTTTATAATAAAACATATTTTATTAATTTTAAACTCTGTCTTATAGACTGCTCATTCAGAAAGGTCAACCTAGATTTCCTAGATAACTCCTAGGAAAAAAGACATGGCTAAGTAAACTATTATAAGCCATAACAAAGTATTTTGGAAAGCCTTCATTAACATATAAAGAATTTTGGCCAAGCACTGTGGCTTAAGCCTGTAATCCTTGCACTTTGGAAGGTGAGGTGGACAGATCACTTGAGCTCAGGGGTTTAAGACCAACCTGGGCAACATGGCGAAACCCTATCTCTACAAAAAATAGAAAAATTAGCCGGGTGCAGCGGCGCATGCCTGTAGTCCCATCTACTTGGAAGACTGAGGCAGCAGAACTGCTTGAGGTTTCAGTAAGCTGAGATCATGCCACTGCACTCCAGCCTGGGTGAGGGAGTGAAACCCTGTCTCAAAAAAAAAAAAAAAAGAACCTGTAGTCCTAGCACTTTGGGAGACCAAGCAGGGAGGATTACTTGAGCCCAGGAGTTTGAGACCAACCTGGGCAACATAGCAAGACCCCATCTTTACAAAAAAATGAAAAATTAGCCAGGCACCTGTAGTGCCAGCTACTTGGGAGACTTAGGTGGGGGAATCGCTTGAGCCTGGGAGGTTGAAGCTGCAGTGAACTTTGATAATGCCATTGCATTCCAGCCTGAGTAACAGAGTGAGACTGTCTCAAAAAAAAGGTGTTTTGTTGTTGTTGTTGCTGTTTTTGTTTTTTACTTAGGACACCTGCTCTAGAGGCTAGATAAAAATAGATTATAATGGCCAGGCGCAGTGGCTCACACCTGTAATCCCGGCACTTTGGAGGCTGAGGCGGGTGGATTGCTTGAGGTCAGGAGCTCGAGACCAGCCTGGCCAACATGGCAAAACACCATCTCTACTACAAATACAAAAAATTAGCTGGGCATGATGATGCGTACCTGTAATCCCAGCTACTCAGGAGGCTGAGACAGGAGAATTGGCTTGAACCCGGGAGACAGAGGTTGCATTGAGCCAAGATCACGCCATTGCACTCCAGCCTGGGTGACAGAGTGAGACTCCATCTCAAAATAAAAAATAAAAAAATAGTAAGAAACACTACCAGCAGTGTTTTGCTAATATAGCTATAACAAGTTATTACATTTTTAAGATAATCAGACACCTCTTAGAGTCTACATATATGAGATTTTACTCTCTTTTCTACAGTTTGTTTTACTTGATGCAAAGCAAGTAATTGGCCTATAGCTTTTCAGATATTATAGTCTATACATTCAGAGAGTAAGGTTTAAGAATGAATTATTGGTGCTTCTTGGTGGGTATATATAGCAGTTTTTAGAAGTTTAAATTTCACCTATACTCATAAAGATAAGCTTTTGATTTAGTGGTTTCAAATTTTTAGATCAATCTGTTTAAGAATTGTTTTTTAAAATATGTATACACTACAGCATAAAAACGTGTAATTTCAAATCAATGTCTTTTCAGTTTTTTGGATGAATTTTATTTGGTTTTAGTTACATTTAAAAGCTTAAAAATTACCTTTGGGCCGGGCACGGTGGCTCAAGCCTGTAATCCCAGCACTTTGGGAGGCCGAGGCGGGTGGATCACGAGGTCGAGAGATCGAGACCATCCTCGTCAACATGGTGAAACCCCGTCTCTACTAAAAATCCAAAAAATTAGCTGGGCATGGTGGCACGTGCCTGTAATCCCAGCTACTCAGGAGGCTGAGGCAGGAGAATTGCTTGAACCCAGGAGGCGGAGGTTGCAGTGAGCCGAGATCGCGCCATTGCACTCCAGCCTGGGTAACAAGAGCAAAAACTCTTATCTCAAAAAAAAAAAAAAAAATTACCTTTGTAGCAATAATTTGAACATCATTGTCACATGAAATCAGGTATTTATATTTTTTCTAATGCTAAAATATCCAATATTGTAATAGCCTTTCCCCCCATTTTTATAAATATAAAAACAATAAATTTTAACATAAATATTTAAATAATACAAAATATTATCAACCAAATTCATAACAGCACAGTGAAGTTTCTTTTGAAGACTACGTACTAGAAGCGTTTAAAACTTACCAATATATACTGGAATAAATCGTTTCAATAAAGTTTAGCAAATGTTCTGTAGACTTGGAATTTTTGAAAAAGCACATAATCCCTTTAGTTCCTAAGTTCTAAAATTCATTACTTACATCCTTCTTCAAGAACAAGTTTATCAATTTCCCTGAGTTACTCATTCTGACTGAATGTTTGTATCCATACCCCGCAACCCCAAATTCACATGTTGAAGCCCTAACCCCCAATGTGATGGTATTTGGAGATGGGGCCTTTGGAAAGTAATTAAGGCTAGATGGGTCAAAATGTTGGGCCCCTTATGATGGTATTTGTGTTTTTATACAAAGAGACAGGAGACTCTCTCCACCATATGAAGATACAGCAAAATGCCTGCTGTCTGCAAGCCAGGAAGGGAACCCTCACCAGGAGCCAAACCATGATCTTGGACTTCCCAGCCTCTAGGAACGTGAGCAATAAATTTCTGTTATTTAAGCCACCAAGTCTATAGTATATTGTTGGAACAATCTGAGCTGACTAAATACCCCCATATTATGTTGAACCATGTAAAATTAGTTACAATAGTTGACCACTTTTACTCATAAAAATAGTAATATAGGCCGGGCGCGGTGGCTCAAGCCTGTAATCCCAGCACTTTGGGAGGCCGAGGCGGGTGGATCACGAGGTCAAGAGATTGAGACCATCCTGGTCAACATGGTGAAACCCCATCTCTACTAAAAATACAAAAAAATTAGCTGGGCATGGTGGCGTGTGCCTGTAATCCCAGCTACTGAGGAGGCTGAGGCAGGAGAATTGCCTGAACCCAGGAGGCGGAGGTTGCGGTGAGCCGAGATTGTGCCATTGCACTCCAGCCTGGGTAACGAGAGTGAAACTCTGTTTCAAAAAAAAAAAAAATAGTAATATCATAAGGTTCAACCTAATATCATCAGTACTAGGTCCTGTCCATAAAATTGAATTTAGTTGACAAATAGGAAAGAGCAGGGTCAGCTGGGCATGGTGGCTTACACCTATAATCCCAGCACTTTGGGAGGCCAAGGCAGGTGGATCACCTGAGGTCAGGAGTTCAAGACCAGGCTGGCCAACATAGTGAAACCCTATCTCTACTGAAAATACAAAAACTAACCAGGTGTGGTGGCACATGCCTGTAGTCCCAGCTACTCAGGAGGCTGAGGCAGGAGAATAGCTTGAACCCAGGAGGTGGAGGTTGCAGTAAACCAAGATCATGCTACTGCACTCCAGCTTGGGTGACAGAGAGTCCATCAAAAAAAAAAAAAAAAAAAAAAAAGCAGAGTCTTGTGATACAGTACACTCTGAACCTGATGGGAACTAGTCCTTCTAATAGACTAGAGATGATTTTTGCTTTTACAGTAAAACAAAGACTTAGCAGTCACCTGTATCCATCAATCAAAAGAGAAAACAAGGCCAGGCTTGATGGCTAATGCCTGAAATCAAAGCACTTTAGGAGGGTAAGGTGGGTGGATCACCTGATGTCAGGAGTTTGAAACCAGCCTGGCCAACATGGAAAAAACCCTCTCTCTACTAAAATTACAAAAATTAGTCTGATGTGGTGGAGTATGCCTATAATTCCAGCTACTTGGGAGGCTGGGGTATGAGAATCACTTGAACCTGGGAGGCAGAGGCTACAATCAGCTGAGATTACCACTGCACTCCAGCCTCGGAGACAGAGCAAGTCTCCTCAAAAAAAAAAAAAAAAAAAAAAAAAAAAGACCAGGCTCAGAGGCTCACGCCTGTAATCCCAGCACTTTGGGAGGCTAAGGTGGGTGGATCACCTGAGGTCAGGAGTTCGAGACTAGCCTGGCCAACATGGCGAAACCCCATCTCTACTAAAAATACAAAAATTAGTCACACGCAATGGCAGCTGCCTGTAATCCCAGCTACTCAGGAGGCTAAGACAGGAGAATCACTTTAGCGTGGGAGGCAGACGTTGCAGTGAGTTGAGATCGTGCCACTGCACTCCAGCCTGGGCGACAGAGCGAGACTGTCTCAAAAAAGAAGAAAACCAGGGAAACGTGTAATGAGTTTGAGGAAACTTAAGGATAAAAGTTAAATAAAGGGCCAGGCACTGTAGCTGACACCTATAATCCCAGCACTTTGGGAGGCCGAGGCGGGCAGATCACGAGGTCAGGAATCTCACCATCCTGGCCAACACGATGAAATCCTGCCTACTAAAAATACAAAAATTAGCTGGGCGTGATGGCGTGTGCCTGTAATCCCAGCTACTCAGGAGGCTGAGACACGAGAGTCGCTTGAACTGCACTCCAGCTTGGGCAACAGAGCTAGACGCTGCCTCAAAAAAAGAGTTAAAATAATTTAAAATTTTCAGAGTTTTCCTAACTTAGGGAAATAAAGAAATTGACCTGGAATCTTTAATGTCGTTCTGCCTTCTGAGAATGACTGTTGAGCTTCACACTCTTGTACAGGAAGCCTCGATGCAGGGAGGCTCAGGTGCTTGAGTTGTGGGCTGCTCCCTGAGTCCAAGACGACTTGAGTGCCAGGGACTAGCTATGAGGCAACAGCGTCCTCACCATGGTCTCCAAAGCAGTCCAAGTAAAAGTGCTCAGCCTGGTGGCACTGCTGCTCGTACGGGTACCAAATAGAAGGGGAGGCTTGACTGTTTGTGAGTCCAAAATTGCCAAACATTTTTTTTCATTCAACTGTTAAGCTTTCCTGCATGGTCTACAAAGGTTGAGGGCTGGGAGATCCCAGCCCAATTCCCCAGTTTCTGTCTTGTGCACAGACAGATATACCAGATCCTCAAGGCCAGCCCCTTAGAAAGAATACCTGATGTTACAATTAAGTTGTCCTAGTACTCTCCATTGTTCTGAATGAGTCTCTCAATTCTCCTTCAGAAGCTAGTGCTAATTATGAATGTGTTTAATATACAAGCATGAAATTATGCTATAAAAGTATAAAAGGGAAAGAAATAGAATTGTAAATTGGGGTTTTCAGCATGGTGAAATGGACCATTTTTTTCCATTTTTGTGAACTATAGTTCACAAAACATTTAAAAATAATGTATCTTAGTATTCAACTGTCAGAGGTAGAGATACAAACATTGAATTGAAGGATTTATATGGGCAAATCTAAAGCCCACCTAGTGTCAGAGAAGAGACTGCCCAAGATAACAGCATTTGTTTGTTCATTCAGTAAGTAGTTTTTAGGTTCTACTGTGTTCTAGCTACTATAGCAATTACAAAACTAGAAATCAAATCCAGTATTTTGTTTCCCATGGCTCTTTTCCCTAAACCTAATGGTGCCTGTTTATCTCACGTAGATGTTTTGGGTATCTGTCTCTATAAGGTCACTAAAGTATTTACCCAGCATTGTGATCACTGGGCATGTAAGATCCTAATCCCTGTCTCAGAAAAACTTACTTGTGCCGGGTACAGTGGCTCATGCCTGTAATCCCAGCACTTTGGGAGGCCAAGGCGGGTGGATCACGAGGTCAGGAGATCAAGACCATCCTGGCTAACACGGTGAAACCTCGTCTCTACTAAAAATACAGAAACTTAGCCATGCATGGTGGTATCTGCCTGTAGTCCCAGCTACTCAGAGGGAGGCCGAGGTAGGAGAATTGCTTTAACCCGGGAGGCAGAGGTTGCAGTGAGCCAAGATCACGCCACTGAGCTCCAGTCTAGGTGACAGAGCCAGACTCCATCACAAAAAGAAAAAAAAAAAGCTTATTTGTTTACTTAAAAGCTTTGTACAGAGGTCTTAAGCTCTTTAAACCTCAGTTTCCACGTCTGTAAAAGGGGTATAACAGCACCTGCCCTAAGGATTAGAAGTGGTACCAGGTATCCAGTGAGCTCTCCCTGTAGTACCTGCTCTTCCAAGAGCACAATGCTATATGAGAAATGGAATTAATGCCATGCTAAGGGGACTACCGAGAGCACAAGGCCCCAAACCCAGCTAGGCAGGCCAGGGAGGACATCCTAAAGGAGGCCACAACTGAGCCAAATTTAACAACAGTAATGCACTAAAACCTAAGACCCTCCCACAGTAAATGGTTCACAAAACAATCCTGTTTGGGAAAAAATGGATTTTCTAAAGTCATGGACTTGCTTTTGAAAACTTTTTATTCACAACTAGGATTACGCAACTCAACTTACTTCCATTAAAACAAGTCATTTCATCATTGTTTTAAAACAAACTTGAATACAATGAGTGCACATTTTAGGGCTTTATATAATCTTCCTCTTCACGCCCTGCTTTCCTCTTTCTGGAAGGTTTACCTGAATAAATATGAGAGATAAGACATAAAACTCAATATAAAATGTTTCCTGAAGTTTTATCTAAAGTGGTTCTGAGATGACAGAGAGCCAGCCCTTCAGATTAGAACTCAGTTTCTCCACCCTTGGTAGCCAAATGTGTCCCCACAGATACCGTCTAGATCAGGCAGCTAAACTTAGGTTTCCCCTGGGCAGGCTGGTGTGATCTTGGCCCACTGCAAACTCCACCTCCTGGGTTCTAGCAATTCTCCTTCCTCAGCCTCCCAAACAGCTGGGATTACAGGCTTGTGCCACCATGCCTGGCTAATTTTTTACATTTTTAGTAGAGACAGGATTTCACCATGTTGGCCAGACTAGTCTCAAACTTTGACCTCAGGTCATCTGGCCGTGTAGGCCTCTCAGAGTGCTGGGATTACATGCGTGAGCCACCCCACCCTGTGAATACTTAACTTTCATTCTGTATTGACTGACATTTCTATTGTTTTAGTTGAAATATGTTCCCCAGCTTCCCTAGTACTTCACTTCTTTTCTCTCTAAAATTCAGTAGAATTGGACCTCCATATCCAAGGATTAAACCAGCCACAGATCAAAAATGTTTGAAAATTTTTTAAATAAGGCAGTATAACAACTATTTACATAGCTTTTATTTTTCTTTTCTTTTCTTTTTTTTTTTTGAAAGAGTAGGCTGGAGTACAGTGGCATGACCTTGGCTCGCTGCCTCCCTCTCCAGGGCTCAGGATTCTCCTGCCTCAGCCTCCCGGGTAGCTGGGATTATAGGTGTGTGCCATCACACCTGGCTAATTTTTATATTTTTAGTAGAGATGGAATTTCACCATGTTGGCCAGGCTAGTCTTGAATCTTTGACATCAGGTAATCCACCCACCTTGGCCTCCCAAAGTGTTGGGATTACAGGCGTAAGCCACCGTGCCCAGCCTACATAGCATTTATATTGTATTATAAGTAATCTAGAGATGATTTCTTTTTTCTTTTTTTTGGGACAGGGTCTTGCTCTGTCACCCAGGCTGGAGTGCAGTGGCACAATTACAGCTCACTGCAGCCTCAACCTCCTGGGTTCAGTTGATCCTCCTGCCTAAGCTTCCTGGGTAGCAGGGACAATTTTTAATGTTTTTTTTTTTTTTTAAGAGATGGGAGTCTCAAACTCCTGGGCTCAAACGATCTGCCCACCTCAGCCTCCCAAAGTGCTGGGCTCCCAAAGCACCCATCCTACAAATGATTTAAAGCAGGGGATGTACATAGTTTATATGCAAATACTAATTAAACTATCTTATATAAGCAACTTGAGCACTTGTGGATTTGGGTATATTCTGAGTCCTGGAACCAATCCACCATGGATACTAAGGGACAACTATGTGTGTTGTAGAGAGAGAGGAAAAAATAAATGAACACACAGTGACCATTGTTGTCACTGCGATGGGAGTTTTTCTTGTCTGTATCTCTAGAACAGAGCATGTATTCAGAAAACATTGAATGAATTAATATGGTCAGTGGGCAATACCATAGTGATTCTCTTACATAATTAATAATTAAGACCAGGCATGGTGGGTCATGCCTGTAATCCCCACACTTTGGGAAGCTCAGAGGCAGGCAGATCACTTGAGGCCAGGAGTTCGAGACCAGCCTGGCCAACATGGCGAAACTCTATCTCTATTAAAGATACAAAAAAAAATTAGCCAGGCTTGGTGGTGCATGCCTAAAATTTCAGTTACTTGTGTGGCTGAGGCACAAGAAATGCTTGAAACTGGGAGGCAGAGGTTGCAGTGAGCCAAGATTGTGCCACTAAACTCCAGCCTGGGCAATATAGCAAGACTATCTCAAAAATAAAAGAGAGACTTAAAATTTCTTTGCACCTTTGATCTTATAAAAGGAAAACAAAATATTTTTATAACAAATGAGATTGCTCAACTACTATTATATTCAAACAATAAAAATACACAGTTTTAAGCCAAGCACCACAGTTCATGCCTATAATCCCAGTACTAGGGAGACCAAGGTAGAAGGATCGCTTGAGGCCAGGCTAAGCAACATAGTGAGACCTCATCTCTACAAATCATTTTAAAAATTAGCCAGGCATGGTGATGCATGCCTGTCATTCCAGCTACTCAGGAGGCTTTGGCAGGAGGACCTCCTGAATCCAGGAGATTGAGGCTGCAGTGATTAATGATCATGCCACTGCATGCCAGCCTGGGCAACAGAACAAGACCGTGTCTTAAAAACAAAACAAAACAAGGCCGGGCACGGTAGCTCAAGCCTGTAATCCCAGCACTTTGGGAGGCCGAGGCGGGTGGATCCACGAGATCAAGAGATCGAGACCATCCTGGTCAACATGGTGAAACCCCGTCTCTACTAAAAATACAAAAAATTAGCTGGGAATTGTGGTGCATGCCTGTAATCCCAGCTACTCAGGAGGCTGAGGCAGAAGAATTGCCTGAACCCAGGAGGCAGAAGTTGCGGTGAGCCAAGATCGCGCCATTGCACTCCAGCCTGGGTAACAAGAGTGAAACTCTGTCTTAAAAAAAAAAAAAAAAAAAAAAAAAAAAGGCCAGGCCTGGTGGCTTATGCCTGTAATGGCAGTACTTTGGGAGGCCAAGGCAGGAAGATCACTTGAGATCAGGAGTTCAAGACCAGCCTGGCCAACATGGTGAAACCCCGTCACTACTAAAAAATACCAAAATTAGGCATGGTGGTGGGTGCCTGTAACCCAGCTACTTGGAAGGCCGAGGCAAGAGAATCACATGAACCTGGGAGGTGGAGGTTGCAGCGAGCCAAGATCATACCATTGCACTCCAGCCTGGGCAACAAAGCAAGACTCCATCTCAAAATAAATTAATTAATTAAATAAATTTTTAAAGACACCTAGTTTCCCACAGTGAACAATGGTAGACCACTCTTTGCTTTAACCACATGAAGCAATTTGTAGTTCTGTAGCCAAGACTTGATATCTCAGGCCCTGCACCTTTCTTTACAGGCCTTTCCATCTTCCTATAGTGCCTAACCTGGCCTGTGTGTTGCAAACTTCAGCTCATTCTTCAACACCCAGCAGAGTATTCCTCCTCTATGCAGCCTTTCAAGACCTACCAGAGCACAGGTATCAGACCTTTGAGCCACCCCTAGTCCTACTGCTGCACTGATCTCACTGGATTTCAGTCAAGTGTGTAGACAGTTAATTTGTGCCTGCCTAGTCTGTGAGCAATATTCCCAGCAGTTGACTCCTGAGTACAAGGTAAATTCTGAAAATTGAATACATTTGGTCTTACTTCATTACTGAGTTTCTTTGCTGTCACTCATCTTTGAGTCTTATCTTCTGACCCCTGATCACTGTCTGAGGAATAGATTCTGGCTTGTTCCTCTGAAAGCAAAGGAATTTTGGACATGAAACTACCCTTCAAAGATGGTTTATTCCTCAATGTTTCTTCTGCCAAATATTTTTACTTCCCACTGTACATTTTTCCTGAAGGAGTTAACTTTTTAAAAAAGTTTCAGTGGGAAAGTAAGTAGAACTTTCAGACAGCTGAAATAACTAGATTTGAGAGGTTTTGTTCTTAAAGAGGTTATTTGAGCACCTAAATGCCTATACACATCATTTTAAGAACTATGAAACTTAAATATTGGGTCTTCAATTATACAAACAGGGGAACTGCCTTTTATACATTTTCCTCCACAACAACATAAATTGTTTAATTGATTTTATTTGGAGAATGCCATATTTTCACAGCTAATCTTTTCTTTGGGAGAGTAGCCCTAAGAAGAACAAAAAGCCTTCGTACTTTTGTTCTCAGTAAACAGTAGGACAATGAGTAAGAGCTCACCAGAGCAAAAGCAGGCACTGTCACCCTGAAATGATGAACTGTGACTGTCACACCTGACTCACCTTGGAGTTCACCTTGGTAATAGTTTTTAATGGCAGCCAGGCTGAAGGTGTCCTTGCCTTCCTCCTCCACATCATCACTGCCAGGGTCCTGGTAGGAGACACTTGGCCCCTGCTGGTTCTGCTTCTCCTGCGGATGGATTTCCTGAGACTCCTGGTGAGTGGAAGCCCTTAAGCGTTCTTCTTTCTGTAAAGAAGCAAATAACCTCTTTAGCCTAAAACAGAAACTACTTTTGTGCCCTCTTGCATCTATTTTCACCATAAAGAAGACATAATGCCTAGTCCAGGATAATAGCTCTCCCATGTGTCTTCGAAGTATCATCTTCCCCATCACACCTCTGTTACTCCACATGGATCCTTTGGTTTGTAAGTGTGAAGGATATGCAAAGGTGAAGAGGCAGAAGGGGCCAGGTGCATTGGTTCATGCCTGTAATCCCAGCACTCTGAGAGGCCAAGGCAGGCAGATCACTTGGAGTCAGAAGTTCAAGACCAGCCTGAGCAACATGGCGGAACCCCATCTCCACCAAAAAAATACAAAACTTAGATGGGCATGGTGGTGTGAGCCTCTAGTCCCCAGCTACTTGGGAGGCTGAGGCAGGAGAATCGCTTGAATCGAGGACGCAGAGGTTGCAGTAAGCTGATATCATACCACTACACTCCAGCGTGGGCAAGAGAGTAAGACTGTCTCAAAAAAAAAAAAAAAAAAAAGGGCAGAAGAGAGCCCTGACACTAACCAGCTTGTTTAGCATTGGCACAGGCCTGTCCTCCAGAGCTGTGCTGGTGTTCTGTGCTGCCACTCGGCCCAGAGAGAAGCGACTCACCCAAATTGACCCCTAGAGCAGCAGAGGCTGTTGCTGTTCATCCTTGAGTCACAACCACCTGACCTGCTTAGACTTTACGAAACTCCTATGGCTCCCAGACATTCCTGTCCTGACCCCTCAACCCAGAGCTCCCCATAGCTTCAATGACAGAATGGGGAGGCCTTACTAGGGGACAATTCTTGAGCCACAGATAGATTCCATTTCTTAAATCTGCCTGGCATTTCACACATTGCAGTTCACAATGTGTGTTTGTGAAAGGTTATATTTTTTAAATAATCAGTTTTCTAGATTTCAGAGTTCTTTGGTACAATCTCACCAATAGCTATTGATAATTACTGTGGTTAACTACACACTAAGAAAGTTAAACTGGCTCCCTGATAACTTCAAGAAATAAAACAGCAGTGGCAATAAGAAATGGTGAATTAATGTTCTGGAAAACGTAGGTCTTACTATCCTGAATGTCCCAGGATAAAGCTTAGCAAACATACCTTCATCACTTCTGTGTGTTGGCCTTCAGGATCACGACCCACCATAGGTAAGATTCTAATTTTCTGTGTCTTTGAACTTCTTTTAGCAAGTGGCAGGGTCATCTTTCTGTATGTAGCACTGTCTGTAGAGTGAGGTCTGCCAGGAAGTGGGCAAAAATGTTTCACTGGTTACTAAGAACATTTGGAGGCAGTCATACGGATAGCAGAAACACCTGGGGACAAGGACCTTACACTCAGCAGACAGAGGAAGCAGAACCACAGTTCTTTCTCCAGCCTCCTGAGAAGCACCTCCCTCTGCCCTACCTCCTGGGGAAAGCTGACTGGGCTGAAGTAGGAGTGCAGTGGAAGTGAGGGGAGGCAGGTGGCAAGGTCAAAGGCTTTTACAAAGAATATCCCCGACTGCAGCCAGAGGAGAAGAGAAGGAATATGAAATCTCGGTTTCCAGAGGGAGGTGCAGATTCCAGAAGGCACAATTGGAGAACTAAAGATGAGTCTCTTCATCTGGAAAAAAATGGAAGTCAAAGCAAAGAGGCAGGTAGCAGCAGAGGCCTTGTAACAGCCCAGGGGATAATACAGCTACACCAGAAGTCCCGGGCCGGAAAGAAATGTCTTCCTGCCTACTTTTTTTTTTTTTTTTTTTGAAATGGAGTTTCGCTCTTGTTACCCAGGCTGGAGTGCAATGGCGCGATCTCGGCTCACCGCAACCTCCGCCTCCTGGGTTCAGGCAATGCTCCTGCCTCAGCCTCCCGAGTAGCTGGGATTACAGGCATGCACCACCATGCCCAGCTAATTTTTTGTATTTTTAGTAGAGACGGGGTTTCACCATGTTGACCAGGATGGTCTCGATCTCTCGACCTCGTGATCCACCCGCCTCGGCCTCCCAAAGTGCTGGGATTACAGGCTTGAGCCACTGCGCCCGGCCTAGGAAGGCAGCTTTTAATTAAGTACATCAGAGGGGAGGAGGATGATCCTTAGGGGAGAGTCTCTGGAAGAGAGCATGGCTGCAGAGAGATGGGACATCAGGAATGAGATGGTGCCAGGCAGTCAATTATCGCAGTATGGAGCACGGGGGACAGTGAAAAAAAGCAAGCTCAGAATCACACATCTTTTAGGATGCTATTCTAGGAGAGATGATTAAGAGACTGGATTGAGCACCACTCACCACTTGTGCCAGGTCTCTGTGTGATGTCCCATGTGTTATTTGACTTCATTGATACAACATCCCTGTGCAATAGATGTTGTTATCGCCATTTTATAGATAAGGAAGCTGGAAATTAGTGAGATTGTGACCCTTCCTCAAGATTACATAACTTCAGAGCTATCCCTATTTATAGTCTATAAAAAGACCAACAGATTACTGAATATTATTTATATATTATAATACCCATTCATTTAAGTATTCAATTAAAGTTTTTTATATACAAAGTTGTATAGTCATGACCCCTATCTGATTTTAGAAAACTTCCATGTCCCCCAAAAGAGCTCTTGTCTTTTAAGTACTCCACCTCTGGAGGAAAGCCTACTCCTAATCAACAGTACTGTGTCCTTCAGAGGGAAGGTGTGGAGAAGGGGCCACAACAGTGAGCTTACCTGGCCCCCGTCATCTAACTGCTTAGGCACAGGCTGCTGCCGCCTCAGGGGAGGGGAGAGCCCAGCCTGTTGTCTGTTGCTGGCACACATCAACACCATTCTGATGATGGCCAACGTCCCAGATCAATTTCACTCCAGGGAAAGGACTTGCTGAGCAGCAGCGCTGCAAGGACAAATCCTCCAGGCTTCTTACCAAGTGCACTGATCAATGTGGATTAATAATATACCTACATTTTGGGTTGTAATCACTCTCCTGGGAATTCTGATAGTATGAACTGGCTCCCTGAGAAATAGCAGCTTGGAGTAAACTTGAAAAAGGTGTATGAGAACCAGACCATGGTCCAGGGGTGAGTTGTAATATCTCAACTTTATTGCTATTTAATGGCAAGTAATCATGTGTCAGTGTGAATAGTTACCTAAAGGTAAGTTTGGATTTAAAGACGGCTTGTCCCTGCAGACCAGTGTCTTCTCTTATAAACAGGTGGTTGTAATTGCCCAGCAGTGGGGCTTTGTAAACATCAAACACTTCATTGCCTAAATGCAGGGACATGCTGGAAATGAGAAACAGTTCAAATATTAGGGTGGATATTTAATGAATTCTACGGCTTCCATTCTGCCCTGCGAGCTTGGCTTAAAATAGTGTGGAACTGCTAGATCCTGTCCACAAACTGAATTCATAGGAAAAGCAGAAGCTGTAAATAACCTGTCTCCTTCCAAAGTAAAAAGTGGTAAAAATCTATCCTCTCTTTAACTTGAAATATAATTGTTTTGTAATTTTACAAATCTCTGTCACTTCATTAGCAAAGCAGAAACAAGTCTTCCAAAATACCATTTTGTCATGTTCGATATCTGACCAATGAGAGCTAACTTTATTCTTTCACATCAGTAAGGTAGCTGCAATCGCTTTTGTCACATCTTGAGTTCATTTCTGAAGTTACCACCAGCACAGCTATAAGACCTCCACCCTGTTTACTTCTCTCAGGTTTCCTAGGTAATGCCACAGACCTAGACTTTTGTAAATCCGTTAGTGAAAAGGACCCCAGACCAGGCACGGTGGCTCATGCCTATAATCCCAGTACTTTGGGAGGCTGAGGCGGGCTGATTCCCTGAGGTCAGGAGTTCAAGACCAGCCGGGCCAGCATCGTGAACTGTCTCTACTAAAAATACAAAAATTAGACAGGCATGGTGGCAGATGCCTATAATCCCACCTAGTCTGGAGGCTGAGGCAGAATTGCTTGAGCCTGGGAGTTGGAGGTTGCCATGAGCTGAGATCACGCCACTGCACTCCAGCACTCCAGCACTCCAGCACTCCAGCGTGGCTGACAGAGCAAGACTCTGTCTTAAAAAAAAAAAAAAAAAAGAAGCCGGGCGCGGTGGCTCAAGCCTGTAATCCCAGCACTTTGGGAGGCCGAGGCGGGTGGATCACGAGGTCGAGAGATCGAGACCATCCTGGTCAACATGGTGAAACCCCGTCTCTATTAAAAATACAAAAAACTAGCTGGGCGTGGTGGCGCGTGCCTGTAATCCCAGCTACTTAGGAGGCTGAGGCAGGAGAATTGCCTGAGCCCAGGAGGCGGAGGTTGCAGCGAGCTGAGATCGCGCCATTGCACTCCAGCCTGGGTAACAAGAGCGAAACTCCGTCTCAAAAAAAAAGAAAGAAAGAAAGAAAATGACCCCAAAAGAAGGTTCTACAAAGAAAACCTCACTCATTCCAGGCCTCCCTCTTGGTATGCTAGTAAAAAAAAAAAAAAAAAAAGGAAAGAAAATGACCCCAAAAGAAGATTCTACAAAGAAAACCTCACTCATTCCAGGCCTCCCTCTTGGTATGCTAGTATTCTTCAGGCATTTTGTGCTCACCTTCCATCTGACCACTTGACCATCCGAGCATTGCTTTCTTTAATTTTATTTCCTGCTTCATCCCGGCGTATCCTCCATCTTACAGTATTTTCCACCTGGTTCAAAACCCAAAGGCATTGGTTAGTTAAACCAGTTTAACTAACTAAATGTTGTTCTTTCTTCAAGTGATTTGTAATCTTGTGTAAAAACTTGATAGGTAATGATAGAATACGCTTACAAAACTAGCTGATGCAGCAAAACTGAAACCTACCTGCTACCAATACCTAGAGAGTTGGTTAAACTAACCAGATACTTTCTTTAAATCTTTTCTGAGCTCCAGTTCATAGCAATGGAAGCAGGAGCTAAGTAGGATGCAGGCCAGAGGTGTTAATCGGACAAGACACACCAAGAGATCCAAGAGAGCATGAGGCTTTGGGTCCACATGAGGTAGAAAGTTAGAGTGAGACCTCTGTCACTTGCAGATAAACCCAATGAAAGAAGGGCTAAAGAGTGCCCCATTCGCCTAGTGAAGACAGGGAAGCTCTGTGCTTGAAATTACAATTTTTTAAAACGAATAAACAACTAATCAAAAAATTAAAACATGAGATCAGTGCTTTGCCCTGTTTTTGAGTCTAAATTTATTCTACCCATATGGTAGAGAACTCCAAGTCACAAAAGTAACAACAACAACAAGAATTGCCCCTGCCCAGTACTAACCACTGGAGCCCCTGTAGAAACTCAGGAAATCCTTAGCCAGGCATGGTGGTGTGCACCTGTAGTCCCAGCTACTCAAGAGGCTGAGGTGGGAAGATGACTTGAGCTCAGGAGTTTGAGATTAGCCTGGGCAAAACAGCAAGGCCCATCTCAAAAAAAAAAAACAAAACCCAAAAGTTTTAAATTTAGAAAAAAACAAAGTTTTAAAGGAAACCCCCTTAAGGAAAAACATGCCTGTGAGAGTAGTTGGTAGTGCTTTGCCGTCACAGGCCTTCTTATAGAGGAACCACCTAATGACAAGATCTCTTTTGTGCATAGTTTGAATATCCATGAAGAGTCAAAACATTTCTATTGTGGGAAATGGCCAGGATCCACCCACTATAAAATGTGTGGGCAATTCCATATAACTTATGTTGTTATTTATCCTGAAGGAAGTAGCTAACTATTTTCAAAAATTTTATCTTTACTTATGTCAAAAAAGGCCTAACTGCAACCAAAAAAGAAAGTGACAATTCCACAGGGATAAAAAAGGGCACATACCTCCTCCCATAAAAATATTCTGAAAAAATGTTCCTAGGTCTAAAGAGCTATTGAACAAGAAACATAAGAGGATTTCCCAAGCTCAAGTCTCAAGTTGTCATCCCTGTTTTACTTTATAAAAGGAAAAACTTAAAAGAAAAAATAAAGTATGGGATGGTACCTTTAATTTTAACCTGATTCTATCTTCCTCGTCAAGCACTTTCTCATCTTCAAATTCATCTTCATAAAACTGAGGATCAAAAGGTCTAAAAATTATATTTTTAATGTCATGTTAGCCATATTTAATAAGGAATACAATGTGTCACCTTCAAAAATCACAGTAGATAAATAATTTCATGTAAACCTTCAAAGAAGTATGCAAATTACCATACTTTCTTGAAATTTGTTTCTAAAACATAACTGCCGGAAATAAAATTCAAATGCAACAAACAATCCAAAATGTTATTTGATGAAATATGTCTTCTAAAGTATAGACAACACATGGTCTTCCATATTTTTTAAGAAAATGTGTTGTAAGCCGGGCGCGGTGGCTCAAGCCTGTAATCCCAGCACTTTGGGAGGCCGAGGCAGGTGGATCACGAGGTCAAGAGATCGAGACCATCCTGGTCAACATGGTGAAACCCCGTCTCTATTAAAAATACAAAAAATTAGTTGGGCATGGTGGCGCATGCCTATAATCCCAGCTTCTCAGGAGGCTGAGGCAGGAGAATTGCCTGAACCCAGGAGGCGGAGGTTGCAGTGAGCTGAGATCGTGCCATTGCACTCGAGCCTGGGTAACAAGAGTGAAACTCCGTCTCAAAAAAAAAAAAAAAGAAAATGTGTTGTGTTTAATTCACAAGAGCCTGCATGCGTGTATTTTAGTGAATCATACCCACTGACACTACTTTGTAGTACAAAATAATTGTCTTTTCTAGATTCACAATGACTTTTGCATTGAACATTTGTGATTTTTCTTTTTTTGAGGCAGAGTCTCACTCTGTTGCCCAGGCTGGAGTGCAGTGGCATAATCTTGGCTCACTGCAAGCTCTGCCTCTTGGATTTAAGAGCTTCTCACGCCTTAGCCTCCCAAGTAGCTGAGATTACAGGCACAGACCACCACACGCAGCAAATTTTTATATTTTTAGTAGAGATGGGGTTTCACCATTTTGCCCAGGCTGGTTTTGAACTTCTGACCTCAAGTGATCTGCCCACCTTGGCCTCCTCAAGTGCTGGAATTACAGGCACGAGCCACTGTGCCTGGCCAGAATATTTGTGATTTCTCTAGCAGACTTTATCACTCTTAATTTCTGATTTTTCAGCTTTATACTAGTGAAAAACACCTTCATCCATTATGATCTGTTTATGTATAATAAAGTACCAAAATGCTAGAAAAATTATTAGCATTAAAATTCTCTCTTACCAGTAATTCATTTTTCTACCACAGTACATCCTACATTTATTTTTTCAAAATTATGAGAAATCTCCCATCTTTATGATTACTCAACTTATAAATATTTGAAAAATTTTTTTCAATATCTTGAAAATTTTAATCACTCCTCTTACTTGGGTTCTATACTGAGAAACTTGGGTAGTTTAACAAAATACAATTCATTTCCTAAATCAGAGTTGATACTGGGAATTTCCGCTTCTATTATGGTTTCAGAAATTGGCTCTTCCTCCTGCTGGTCCTGAGGCACTCCATGTTCATCCTAAGAAAGGAATCAGAATGTGAGAGCTTGAAGAGGCCTTAGAAATGCGCTAGCTTGGCCGGGCGCGGTGGCTCAAGCCTGTAATCCCAGCACTTTGGGAGGCCGAGGCGGGTGGATCACGAGGTCGAGAGATCAAGACCAACCTGGTCAACATGGTGAAACCCCGTCTCTACTAAAAATACAAAAAATTAGCTGGGCATGGTGGCGCGTGCCTATAATCCCAGCTACTCAGGAGGCTGAGGCAGGAGAATTGCCTGAACCCAGGAAGCGGAGGTTGCGGTGAGCCGAGATCGTGCCATTGCACTCCAGCCTGGGTAACAAGAGCGAAACTCCCTCTAAAAAAAAAAAAAAAAAAAAAAAAAGAAATGCGCTAGCTTTACTCGTCCTACACTGGGCAAATGCAGGTTTGATGGGAAGTAAATTTTTGTTTTTGTGTTTTTGATACGGAGTCTCGCTCTGTCACCCAGGCTGGAGTGCAGTGGCATGATCTCAGCTCACTGTAACCTCCACCTCCCGGTTTCAAAACAATCCTCCCTCCTCAGCCTCCTGAGTAGCTGGGATTACAGGCCTGCGCCACCACATCTGACTAATTTTTGTGTTTTTAGTAGAGATGAGGTTTTGCCATGTTGGCTAGACTGGTCTCAAACTCCTGACCTCAGGTGATCCACTAGCCTTGGCCTCCCATAGTGCTGGGATTACAGGCATGAGCTACCGTGCCTGGCCAGGAAGTAAATTTAGACTCCACTTTAGGGATAAAACAGCAGCTCTGCTAAGCTTCTTCCTGAAACTTCACCTCATGCCTACAAAAAAGCAAAACAGGCTGGGCGCAGTGGCTCATGCCTGTAATCTTTGAGACTTCGTCTCAAAAAAAAAAAAAAGAAAAAGCAGAAAAAAAAAGAGAAACAAGATCCGTTAGCCTATATTACTAGAAAAAAGTATAATATCTATTTTGTTGACATAAATATTTTGCATAATCAGCAACAGAAGTGTGAAATTATTCACTCCATCAATACTAGGCAACTATTAAAATCAGAGAATATCAACATAGCTCATGCTTCTTGTCACAGGCTTGAATAAGAAAAACTTTTTTTTTTCTTTGAGACGGAGTTTCGCTCGTTACCCAGGCTGGAGTGCAATGGCGCGATCTCGGCTCATCGCAACCTCCGCCTCCTGGGTTCAGGCAATTCTCCTGCCTCAGCCTCCTGAGTAGCTGGGATTACAGGCACGCACCACCATGCCCAGCTATTTTTTTTGTATTTTTAGTAGAGACGGGGTTTCACCATGTTGACCAAGATGGTCTCGATCTCTTGACCTTGTGATCCACCCGCCTCGGCCTCCCAAAGTGCTGGGATTACAGGCTTGAGCCACCGCGCCCGGCCAAGATAAACTTTTAAATCAAAGGTTTTTACATTATGACTCCTTACAGTCTAGCCCCTAAAGTTTGGCATCAACTTCATTCTGAGTAGTTCCTTCTGTGCCTTCTTATACCCAGAAATTCTCAATATAGCTAAGAAATTCACCTGTTCATCAGATGTTCAGCTATCCATGTCCTCTCTCAACATGAGACAGACAGACTCATCAGCCTCTGAAGCTTTTTTTTTTTTTTTTTTTTTTTTGAGCTTTGAATAATGGGATTGGTTGATATTGGTGATTGTACTTACAACCAGCTGTCCTGGAATAGATGGTTGATTGCCCTCATCACTCTCAGAAGAAATGTCCTCTATATCTCCAAACAGATCCATGGTCCCACTAGGATCTTTGGGTTTGGAGGGAAATGTACAGTATTAATTTTTCCAACTAAAGTTATTTACACAGTTCTTGGTCCACTTCAACATCATCCTAAGATTCATAAACCAAATCTCCATCAAACCAATCTCAAACTAGCTCCTTAAGCCTGGTTCTCAGAAGCTTAACTGAAGTATCTTGGAGAAAGGAGGAGGTAGAATTGGTACGTGAAAGGCAATCACTGTGGCAGCCAGCTTCTTTCAAGATTCCTGCCCATCATAGTAATTCCTGCCTCTGGTTTCCATGCCCTTGTGTAGTCTTCTCCAACACTGTGTCGTGATTGATCTATGTGATTAATAGAATACAACCTCTATTCAAGATGAGGCTATGAAAGATACTGTGGCTTTTCTGTCTTGCTCTTTCTTAGGTCAC